GTCATTGTCCTTGCAGACCATAGGCAAAAAGCATTTGTCAACCATGCACATACCAAATTTAAGCAATCGTTAAATCATATACATGTCATGGAAAGAATATGGAAATAATGTTGAATGAAAGCTAGCATCGCGTATAATATTAAAAGCACCGCATATAGTGCTCGAACCACTGCGTATAATTGCAAAAGCATCGCGTATATAAATGGTGAAAGCACCGCGTATAATACTGGAACCACCGCGTATAATGGCGAAAGCACCGTGTATAATGCCAAAAGCACCCAACAAAATGCCGTTTGATCACTTTAAGCCAGCTATGGCTTTCCATAAAAGAAGACCAAAGATGAAACATGATCACATTGCCTGTTTGCCTTATGCCTGACCGCGCTGCACCACGGTTAAAATTCACTGGTACCGTCATGCAATGCGCCAAATAGAAAATTTTGATTTCGACCCACAAAACAAAATTAGGATCTGCTGCCTCGCTCGCTCGCTTCAAGCTCGCTCGCTGCGGCAGCAACAAGCAGAAAGTCGACGTTTCGAGCGAAGGCCCTTCGTCAAAACTGTACACCGTCTGCTTCTAGCGCTTCAGCCATGAAATAGATCGAATAACTGATGAACTGAGGCTATATCAGTTTGTGTGGGTCGAGCGACGGGCCACGGCCGATTCTTCAGAGATCTCCACCGCACAGAAGCCGATAGCCGTTTTAAAAGTTAAAACAACTACTAAGAAGCCTGGCCAAACTCGGTATTTGCCCGGATTTATTGGCATCCAGCCATAGAGATCCAGCAGTGTATAAGGTTATTTTCGCATAGTCTTCACCTGACCTGAGTGCACAACTGACCTTCCACATGTATTTATATAGTAACTGCTGGAAGCCGGATGCACAATTACGCGCAAAATTCCCGCAATTTATTCTCACACCATGCGCCTGCGCAACAGGTACGGGTAATTAATTAGAATGCAAAAATGGCTATAAAAAATGTTTTGTGATTGTTTTCTCGTCGTCGTCCGGTTGTGCTAACATATGTTTTATTGTAAAGCTCTCTAACTTTAAAGTCTTGGCTTTTTGAAACTGTTTTAACCAGAACATAATCTATTATTTCTAACAGTGTATAAAGTAGCCGAATACCATCTTTATAATGTCTTTAATTCGACGTTTAAGTCGAAGGTTTAGCCGTCGTGGAAGTAGGCCGAGTAGAAGGCGACAGGATTATTCCGATGGAAAATGTCATGATAAAGACAGCATCGCTTGTAAAGTTGATCTGCTTGATGGGACAGTTTTATCTTTCAATTTAGAGGTAAGTTTTAAAGGAAACATCAGTTAGATGCAGAGATGTGTTGTATTATGTGAATTGCAAAAATGTAATCTGTTTGTCTACATTGAATGCAGTATATTTACACACTGCATTCCAGGAAAATTTGCATGCTGTTTGGCACCCTATTAATATGTTCAAAAGCCTTGTTCTTGTCAAGGCAAGGGGCTATACACTCCTCTGAAAGCAAGTTGTTGAAAATCACAATCCCAGCCAACTCAGAACATGCAATCCTTTAATGAAAATCACCGCAATATCTAGTTTAATACGTAGTACTCCAAATTGTAGATATACATTTCGAAAGTGCCGTGATTGCCGAAATTTTCATATTGAAGTAGGTCTCAAAACTAATGCATCTATTATCTATAATACTGTAGTCCAGAGCAGATGTGTGTTTTTATGACCTTAGATTTATTTATTTAGCGCAGTAGACATAGAGTGATGAAAACGTATTGGCCAGTTGAGGCCAATATAAGTAAATTGTTGGTGATCTCTAACATAATGACAATAATATAGATAGTTATTGGGGTCAACATTTGGTCAAGACATTTCAATCATTGCCTCGTTTAAACGTTGTCCACAAAAATTAAATATTGAGCAATCATAATATTTTTTATTTGTACAGTGTCTTTTTGGGTGGATCAGCATATAAATGAGGGCATCTGGTCAATATGGAGCCAAATTGTTCAATAATGCATTTTTATATACAAAGAGAAATATGTATGGCTTTTAAACTTGAACATGATTTGATCTGGTTTTTTCAGCATCAAAATTTGATGCAATTTGTTCTACTTAAAATATACTTTGTATCAGGAAAAAAACACAAAAATGATAATTTTATCTCCAAAATGATAATTATACACCTTTGACTGTATTCCACAATTTAGTGAATATGGCTCATGCCAGGGTGCATTCCATGTAAACTCGACGCCGGAGATACGCCAACATAATGCAACATTAACTATAGATAGTATTGTAATTTGTCAAACTCACGCCAGATATCTTCGCACTTTTGTGCACAGAATGCACCCTGGGGCTCATGAGACCAATATGACAGGATATTGCCAATAATTAGAAAGTAGAAATGTTTGTTTTGGCTAAAAACGTTTGTTTTGGCTGAAAGATTTCTAGAATATTGTAAAAGTTTCGTAACTGTTATTATATGTTTGGTAACTGACATGTTTCAAGATGAAAATATCACATCGCATGTGACATTTTCATATGCAGAGGGAATAGAGGAGAATGTGACCCATTTTCTTTTGTATGTTTGTGTTCCTCACCAAGGTAGCACTAATTACTGAACTAAAATTGTGAGGTCACTTACAAAGAATTCTTTAACAACCTACTCATATGACTCATTGTATATGCAAGTATATAATTTATATCTTCCTGTAGTGTGTGGGATGCTGTTTCTACACTCCCATTGTTTCCTTTGCACATTTTAAAAAGTATATGGTTAGAATGTCTCTTGAAAGTACAAATAGTTGTAACCTTTGCCAAAGAATGTATCTATTGAAATAATATAGTAGGATACCTCCTGAAGGGCACATTGTCGCTTAATGGGTTAATAATTATCACATGCACATTAATTTAAAAATTATATTATATATAAATTGTGCGTTCATACACATGCATGTACAAATGCTCAACCATTTACAGTGTGAATAGTTTTAACAAACTTTGGTTCCAGTAACTTTAGAAATTATCATTAAAAAATCGAAATGAATGATGTCACCTTTACTTGGTTGGCTGACGTTATGACATCATTATAGAATCAGTGTCAAGTACAGTAAATTGTTGCATGAATAATCGGTAATCATTAAATTCTGATTGTGGCACAATCGGCCAATTACTAGTAAACAGATGTAACATAGTGGAGCTGAAATGTTTAATGTTGAATCATGTATTCCATCATGTTTATTATTTTCTGATGTTAGTCAAGAATGCAAGAAATGTCATGTTAGGGAGCATAGATTCTAAAATTTTTGGGGATCACAACAGAATGTACAGTACTGTACTGTATGTTCAATTTAAGAGTGTTGCATATTTGGTTCATGCTCACTAATTCTGCATATTATATAAATTTCTTAGTGTTATGCAAGGGGACAGTATAGATTTTTAGTGAAAAATATAGAAATAATAATAATATATTAATATAATATATTTTTATATTCATATAGAATTTTGGAAAATATTGACAGATGGCTAATTATATACAAGTGTAATATTAATAGATTAGAATTTTTATGAAGTAGCTGTTTGCCTGCCAATTAACCACTATAACTGATTACAGTAATTAGCTCATTTGTGTTTGGTACTTGCATTTCTGTTTGGCAGAGTTTGGTACTGTACAGTACATATCAAGTCATGAAGATTAAAGTTCCACGTTCATTGCACATTCACTTTACAAAGAAGCAAGCAAAAGTGTTGGGTTTAACGCTTGACGAATTTTTAATTTGCATGGACCAAGCATATTGACAACTTAATTAATTGTGTTCGACAATTAATAGTAGACTTGCTTTATTACGTAGGATTAAACCCTTTTTAACTAAGGACTGTGCTCTTCATTTCTATAACTCCTGTATTAATTCTAGTCTTATCTACTGCTCTGTAACTTGAGGAAACTGCTCAAAAACACTTTTACTTCGCATTCTTCGACTGCAAAAGCGTACAGCACGTATTATTCTAGATGCTGACTTTTCTGCTCCTTCTGTTCTTTTTTCCCAGATTCGAATAATCCCAATCTTTGATCTTGTTAAATTTAGGAAGCTTCTCTTACTAATTAACATTCTCACAAATCCCAGTGCTCCATCTTCATTTAAGCAAATGTTTAAATTCTTATCTTCTATTTGACAACAGGCTCTGACTAGAGCTTGCGCATATGACCTTCAACCCCCCTTCCCGCGTACTGACTCTGGCAAACGAACATTTCTGTACAGTGCTTCCATTCTTTTTCATTGCTTAGAAAGCAATTGTAAGCAACTTGCTGCTTTGCCATCTTGCTCTTCATATACTAACGCCAAACAAAAAATTTGTAAAATCTTTCTTAACAAGTTTAACCTTACTAACCATATCAAAGATCTATTTTGTATAAATTGTAAATATTTACTAAATTGTAATTGTATTCATTACGTCTAATATTTTTTTTCTCATATGTAAATAGTCGTAATCTTTAATCCCTTTTAATGTTTTATGCCTGTAAATATCAAAATAGTGCGAGGGCCATATGTTAGATAACTTTTATCATGGTTAATACGTTTCCCTCGTGAAATAAAGTTTCTATTCTATTCTACATTCCAAAGGTCATAATAATTGTATTTGCGAACTGGTACAACAAACTGCCAGTTGTCAGTACTAGACTGGTTTCCGGAAGCCCATACAGGCATCTTTTTCAAAAAGCTGGCAACATAGCTAGTTTTGTTAATTCGAAATGCTGATTTCAAAAACCAATGTTGCCAGGTTCAAAAATTATGTTACAGGAGTGTAATTTGCATTTTAAAATATGATGTTATAAAATATAATTACTATCAAATAATATTTGTGTCACGTGACCCATCAGGTGTCCAGCAATAATCGGTATCTTAATGGCACGAGCATCGATTATATGACGTTATATTCCTTCAGGAAAATTCTTTCTGTTTTATTAACTAATTATAAACCAAAACATTTATTGATGAAATACGATGAAACATTGCTTGTCGAAATGTTACCAACGTCCAAGCATAAGATTCAGCTTCAACCTCAGAGGCACATCATGGACGTGCTCTATGGTAGCTTATCATTTGTTATCAATGCACAAGTTGTTCTCCGATTTGCTGCAGCAACATAGTCCAGAACACACTATATTTGCTTTCTGCACTTGCGCCGCAGAGTTGCACAACCAGTGGTTGCGCTTACATGTAATCATCTCCACACATTGTCGTCAGGACTGGCTTGTCGTCAGGACCGTCATCTATAAGTTTTCAACCAGATTCCGTAGGCTCAGTTAGAATTTGCTTTGGACAATGCGCCTGTCGCCACACCATAGCCTGATAACGAACTCTCATTATGTGGTACTTCGAGGCGTCGCTTGTTGGTGGAATTTATCTGGAGTACCAGCCTTCGCAAATAGCAGAAATTGAGCCATATCCACGGATGGTACGTTTGTCTTGTAGATTCTGCAAACAAACATTTCTACTCTTTTAAGTGTGTCTGTTGTCAGAGTTCCTTCTCCGAGGAAAGGGAGCAGATGAAAGTAGTCTTTCAACACCGTCTATGCGGTCTTCTTGGAGTGACCAAACAGGTACGAGGTAGTGTCGCAGCCGGTGATCGCATGAAACTGTAGGATGGCCTTCTCTGATCCTGCTGGAAGCTTACGATAGACATCATCTAAAGGGATGAATTTGGGTTTCTTAGCGGTTCCTGCTGCAACCCAGACTTTTGAAGTTATCCGAAATCGATGGGCCAGCAACAGCAGTAGCACATCCGTGTCACGGGCTGAAACGACAACGTTCTGAGCATACCCGTTGTTGTGTATAACATGAAAGACAATGCAGGTATCCGCCTCCTCGTGATTGCAACGCAGCCCCACAACGTCAATTGTTGAGTCTGAGCAAACGAAATGACCAACTCCTTATATTTGGCGTGGTTAAGTACCTTATCATTCTTTGTACACCATTTCTCAATATCGTCGATAACAGTTTGTAAATGGCTTTGTTTACCTTTAATGATTGTTTCCGAAAGACTGGTATCGTCAACATATTTCCATCGGTTGTGAGTGACGGCTAAATCGTTGACCGTATGGCATAAGGAAAAGAAGCTGGCCGAGAATTGTTCCTTGCGGTGCGCCACCATTTACAAATTCCCAATCAGATAACACATGCCCCAACTTCACCCTCTGCATGTCTTCTTTGCATGAGAAAGTCAATCACCCAATTAATTAAAGAATTATCAATGCCCTGTCTTCTTTGACCTTTTTGGTTTCTCACGACTGCTCGGCACATCGTACAGTAGTTTGATCGTAACCATTCATTTCATATACAAGGTCTCTTGATATAAGATATAGGCGTAAAGATAATCTATTTCCGTTAGTCGTTAGTCGTTAGTTGATTTTATTTCCCCCCTAACAATCTGAGCGTATCCAAATTGTCGGTTGTGTCATAATCCGGTCGTTTCTCTTTTCTATTTTTATCGACTGAACCATGCAGTCACATAATGAGTTTTCCAGAATAAAGTCTATAGGGGGCCTCTGTGATTCTCACGCTAAGATCTGTCAAGCCTCAAGGGTTTATATAGAATTATCTCAATATTGGCCGAAGAGTCTTGATAGAGCATCGCTGTTTACCAATCGTACCAAGATATGTTGGCCGTTTAAACAGGGGTCGAAATTTAATTTTTTTTTGTACTATACAGCCGGAATAGTAGATTTTGAAATTTACTATTCCGTCTGAAGATACACTATTTAATGTACTGTTTCTGACAGCCTGTTCATGCAGGGTCCGAGCTAATGTTCTGATTTTCGTGAAATCATCCCTGAGACGTCTCCTAAAGTGAACTGAATAATTGAATAACAAAGAATAAACAGGTGCAGTGCATTGCATTGTACAGTGATGAACAAATTATTAATAAAAAACAAAACATCTCATGATATTCAATGAATCATGCAGTAATTAGCCGCCATTTTCGGGTGGCTTTTCAGCTGAAGTTTTCAGCTTGGGTGACTTTTCAGCTGAAGAAGCAGCTTTTGACGAATGATGGTAAATTTGCTTTGTAAATGGTTAGTTTATTTTGAAAAATTGCTTTTCACATTGTTTTAATTATCTGCATTGGTTAACGAGAATTAGATGCCACCCAGAAATGGCGGATTTTCGACATTGTGAGAAAGGCTAATTAACTATAATGTGAATCATCTATTCATGTACATTAATATACATCCTCAGGCTGGCCCACCACTAGCATGAACATAACAGAATTTAGCACCAGGGTAGCACCTTGTATGTCATAGACGCAAGTACTACAAGCGAACAAGAACTTAGCTACGAAGTGGAACAGTAGCTCAAAGTCCGGTATAAAGTGATATATTATACAAGAGGAAAACGCTTGCTTGTCGATATTTGGTACCACAATTTTTTCAAACGGAATACCGTGATCATGGGGTTTACTATTCCGTCAGGCATTTTACTATATTCGGAATAGCGGGAATTTCGACCCCTGTTAAAAAGATATTTTTTTGGTTGATAAACCATTTGTCATGTGGTTTATTTATCAGCCTATAAGTACTAAAAGAATAATTTTGAGTTATTACTCGCCAAAGCCTCATGCAACAACAACACTATGTTGCAACCTGGAAAGTAGAAACGCTACTTTGGAGGTTACGGCGATCGTTGATGGGATAAGAACGTGTAGGTATGTCGAATGATCGTAGCTATATATCGAAAGGCAAGAAACGATAACCATTTTTTGTATTTTTGCAGTTAGAAGAAACAATATTGAAGCGTTACGATTTGTTTCAATTAAGTCATCGTGTCTAAGTTACATGATACTAGTATCTATTTTATTTAGAAAAAGTCGATTGGTGAAGAACTTATTAATCTGGTGGACAGGAATCTTGATTTGATTGAGAAGGAATACTTTGGCTTGCAGTTCACTGATTCTCTCCAAGTTTCAGTAAGCGAACATATAGTGTTTTGTTCTGCATGTGCATTACACACGACCATGTGATATTGAATAAAAATTTCCATTTTACTGAGAGTCCAATGGAATTGAATTCGATGCATCCAAAATTCAACGTTTGAAACGGGCGTCGAATCTGGCATGTAGTTCGCTCGTATCTCACGCGAATTGTATTCAACACATGCGGAATGTGACTTTTGAACCAGGCCTATACTGTACAATTGCGCCTGATAGTTGAACATCAAACATATTAAATGTTAATACGCAAAGTAAATTTGTTTGATATTTTTGCAGCATTGGTTAGATCCACTGAAGAGAATAAAGAAACAAATTAGAGGTATACAACATGTTGTTAACTACTTTTGAAAACTAATATAACGTTTTAATAACTGTATAGAACCTTCATTCCCGGGAAATGCTGGGCCAGCTCAGTCAAAGCACGATTAGCCTTAACCCTGGGTTAAAATTTAACCTGTTATTTGGGTTTGTGTGTTTCTAGACGTCTGTTAATTTCCAAACTTCACAAAATGAGACTGCTATTGATCCTGACAAGATTTCTGGGAAATTATAGTATTTCCAAGTTTATGAGCAAGCCGTTGGGAACTTTGTTTTGACGTTTTTCGTTAATCCTGGATTAAGCTAACCTGCATGGTGTGTAACTGTTCGTCAATGTATTTTCTTTTGATATTTTAGGACAACCACCTTATACATTGAACTTCCGTGTCAAGTTCTATGCTGCAGAACCTCATAGTTTAAGTGAGGAATTAACAAGGTTGGTAACTACAACAGGCATATAATAGTTTTGTTTGTGGAAACACCACGTAAATTTAATTTAATTAATTTAATTTAATTTACGTGGTGTTTCCACAAACAAAACTATTATATGTTTTATCGCCATGCAAACATACAAAGAACTTATTACAATAGGCATGTTGATAATAAGATAAAAAACATATACTTGGTATTCCGAGGCACAGAATGCAAATTTATTAAGTGCGTGTGTACTACAGGAGTGCATGTACTAATATGAAGGCATGAAGTCATAGGTAGTTATTTTCCACTCTCTGTTCTACATTCGAATACTCGAAAAATATTTACCTAATGAAGTTTCCTCACTTCATACTGTATTTCTGCAATGTTGTTCGTTATATCTTGCAATGCCTGTTTCCTTTTATAGATATCATTTTTTTCTGCAACTAAAACAAGACATTTTGGCAAAAAGGTACAGCATATCTTTACTTTACAGTGTTTTTAAGAATGTTAATCTATAGTGTAGCATAGAAAGTTTGTATCATGAATTGACAAAAATCGAAATTGAATCTTCAACGTATATGACCTGGAATGCTCGCTGCTTTTAATGATTTCGTAATATACCATCATCATAGTTACCGGGGTTCGTACGGGTCCTGGAAAACCTGGAAAGTCATGGAATTTAAATATTCCAAAATCCAGGCCTGGAAATCCTGGAAAATCAATTTTAGTCATGGAAAGTCATGGAAAATTGAAATTTTACAAAACATTAACAAAGTATTTTACTTATTTCAATTTACCAGTCATAACAATAATATGAATTTTTGTTATATAACGGATTTTTGCAAGAACGAAGTGAATTTTGTTCTTTTATTATATCTGTTATCGTTAAAATATTAACGAATTTTAGAAATTCCAGACTTCCAGGTTATGGATTTTGAAAAGAATGGTCATGGGAAGTCATGGAAAAGTCATAGAATTTTAAATGGGAGAAGGTGTACGAACCCTGAGTTACACACATCATAGATAGTTATAGCTGTACTGCATGTATAGATTGGGACTCCCCCCCCCCCAATCCCTCCTTTCTTAAATTTCACTTAGTCAAAATACTAAGAGCAAATTGATGTTGGTGTGCAAAGTGAAAAATAGTTTTCTGTATTTCAAAAAAGCAATTTTCGACTAAATACAGTCCTGATATAACAATATTGTTACAATCTATAGTTGTGTCGTAATCATGACTATATCAGACTTGTTAGAACAACCTTGTCACAAGTCTGATAATGCCAAGATTGTTACAAGTTGTTAACAGCTTGTCCCAAACTTGTTGCAACAACTCATGGGAACAAGCAGTGCGAACACAAGTTGTTGACGGCTTGTTGGCAGACTTGTAACAACTTGTTTGCAGACCTGTAACAACTTTTGCGTTTTTACGTGTGTATATGGGTATCGTTTCTGAGAAGCTAAGATTTCAGATATGTAGGTTTGATTTCACATTGTTTACCGAAGCCGATATCGTATAGAAAGTTTTCAGGAATTCGCATCTGACCAAAAAAAATTGGGGATTCTGAAACGTTTTGACGTACGCCAGAATGAGTTCCGTACCAGTGTGTAATTTTCTATAATCTCGGTGTATGATGCTAGAACACACTGTGTATATCTTATGTTATACTTTTCATGTTTCCATTAAGGTTAAATGTTCCTTTAAAGAAATTGGTGGAATTGGCAGCATACAGTTTACAATGTAAGTAACTGTTAACTTTTAATAGTTAACTTTTGTAATGCGATAGGCGATTTCCACTCGATAATTTCCATCTACAAGACCCTTCAACTATTATTGAATCGAGTGAGATGCCAACAAAATTTTGATATTTATCCATAACCTAAACATGGCAGTACCCTATATATACATGAACTTGTGGTTTATAGGGCTCGAAAACTGGCCTCTGTATTAGCGCTGCACCGGAATCGCAGGTCCTGTAGTTGCATGGTTAGGTCTAATAAATGTATAAGACCCTTCAGCTTTAGACCTATTATCTATTATGCTTTCCCAAGACAAGTTGGTTTGGTGAAATTGTCCTGAATTGTTGTACAAATTGATAGCCATGCAAATACTACATGTTTGAATAAAAATGTATATATAATTTGAATGTTTACTTGATATACGAACTGACTGAATAGAATGTATTGACTATTGTGCACACCGACGTTTTGTACAGAAAGTAGTACAAAACAAGCAAAATTTATAGAAAACCATAAAGTCGTGGAGAACAAATTGGCATCCATACCAAATATACAAGTGTTCGGCTCTTGAAAATATACACAGTAATTTTAGTATGGAACAAGAAGTGGTGATGCAACCAATCAGTGGAAAGTCCCGCACAACCAAACCCAAGAAAAAGTATAGGGATTTTGACCCGACACCCAAGCAACAAAGTATACAATTTCCAGCACAGCGTGGTATGTTTTATTGTCGAAATCCCGTATAATAAATTCCCCGTAATCGTTCGGGCAATTTGGTACAAAAATGTGCGTAATCAACAATAAGCTATATAGATACAATAGTCCACTGGATATTTGGTATTGACTATGAAGAAAATTTATACAGTAAACTAACATTCTCCCATTGGCACGTAAATAAATCCCAGCTGAAACCACGCTATTTCTCTGAACTACTATTAAAACTAAGCAAATTCTCTCGGGACACCATGCATATATCCATCAATTTCCCCGTAAAGTCCAGGTCTGTGAGTCTGGGGATTTCCATGCAGAATCGTTTGGGAAATATTCGATAAAAATATGTAACTTTATTGTAGTAATAGAGAGCAATGCAATTTTAGTTAACTATAGTGTCAAAAACCTCCTCCCTTGGTTGACCACAAATCAACCTACAAAACTTCGGTCCCTCATGTTCGCAAATTCCAACTAATATTTACTAAAATACTGAAAAGTTCCTCTTTTCTTTTAACGTTCATATTTCATGGTTATTCAAATGTTCCAGTTTACCTTATATATGTTATGATTGTTACTAGCTTATTCTACACTAAATCTATAAGTTATTAATTTACAACCCATGGTTTTTTCCAAATTGCTAATCGTATACATTTCCAAACATTTAGCTGAACTGGGCGACTTTGATCCTGAATTACACGAGCACAATTACATCAGTGATTTTAAATTCATCCCAGAGCAGGTTGGTTGGAATTCTAAACAATAAATGTAGATTACTTCATGGTTGGTGAGTGTGTACGATTTTAAACGATTGAGCGATCCTTCACAACGAGGATACATGCAAAACGTACAAACGAACCAACCATGAAGTAATTTGTTTATTGTATATGTGTTTAGAGATAAATGTCCGACAGGCACAAATGCAGTATAACCATTTCGAAACAAAGGTATTCTTATTTGGTATTATTATTTATTTAAAAAAATCCTGGTTTCTGATTGGCTGATAGCCAACTGTGAAATTGTCATATCAACTCAATGGCTAACCAAAATGGATTTTTCACATTCATATTAGCAAAATGACGTATGAAAAAAATTTGGACGCGTTTGCGCCATATTACTATGACGACGAGAATCATATTGACTCGCTGACGCCATTGATATGACGACGAACGACGGCTGCCGAAGGACTTGAAGCCCGTTCTCCACTAGGCGAATTTTTTCGCGCGACGCGAAAAACAAATTTTGGCAATGTGATTGGTTAGCGAAAAAATTCGCCATGAAAAAGTTGGATCAGTTCCTACTTTTTTACTGTTCGCGCGAACAAATTCGCCTAGTGGAGAACGGGCTTAAGTCCGAAAGGTTCGCCAACCTTGGCGAAGCCGAAATTCAAAAATTACTGGAAGATAAGATTCGTTAAATACAAAAAGATCAACAAAAGCCTCTAGAATAGGTAAGAACACTTTTCCTAATTCTTGATTGGCTGATTAACGCGGGCGAACAAATGGATGACCGTCAGTTGTTTTGAATTTTTTAAATAAATAATAAAACAATTATTGAATTCGGTTTTCGCACAATATAAAGAATTATCAAGCCCTCAGTTTGCAGTTATCAACCTCAGCCTTCGGCTTCGGTTGATAACGGCAAACTTCGGGCTTGATAATTCTTCATATCGTGCTCAACCTCATTCAATAATTGTTAATTATTGGCCTTGTGTGTTTTCATTTTGACAATTGCTGAAATAATAACTCACTTCAGCAACTTCGCTAAAGCGGACCCGAAGTACATGTACATATATATCTAGCCTCAAACAAGTTTCTTGCCGTCTATTTCTTCATTTTCTTGCTATAATTCCAAACAGGTTAATTAAAAGAGGCCCTTCGTTATTATTTTAGACCTTGCGTGTTTTCGTGACGGCAATACTCACTTGCAATTTTTGCTGCGATTTTCTTCCCCTGATGTATGTGAACGAGTGGATGAGTTAGAAATGTTTAGATGAAGGTACATATACTCATTCATAACTTATCTACTCGTTCACATCCATCAGAAGAAGAAAATCGCACTAGAAATCGCAGCAAAAATTGCAAGTTAAACGGGCCTTAAACCATAAAATTCAACAGCACTTTTGCCACTTCGCTAAACCAGGCGCCATGTTAATAATTGTTAGATAGAACGCAAAAACAACATTGCTACGGCCAATCAAAGCGCTCCGACGATAATTTTTCACATGCGAGAAAAATCATCTGACCAATCAAAACTCTAACACCGTAAATTTCGTCAGACGATTGTGTTTGATCTACGTACTGCACGGGAGGTCTCTATACTTCATAATTATATGGTGATCATTATAACTCCAGGTTAGTTTATGTAGTCCATGAGGCAACCGGGTCCAGTGTACTAATTCCGCTCGGCTATTTACACCCGGGGGAAGGAGAGAAGATAAGTATCGTAAGGGGATATTTACCATGTCTCTAAGAAATGGGCCCCGTATATGATTTATAAACTGATTAAATGATGCTCCCATTATGCTTTGCACGCTTAGAGTTTAACGTTTAAGATTTAGAGTTTAAGGTTTGCAAAGGACAACCTTTTTTGAATTAACTGTATAAATTGTTTCATGGATTAATTGGTACATTGATTGCTTATTTTTGGACATAGACCGCTGAACTTGAAAAAGAGATACATCGGAAACATCGCCAGTTTGCGTAAGTTTTTAAGATCCTCCTCTAAACTCGAAAGTGTAAACTGTAAACTACCTGAAATTCTCTTTTATGCCCCTCCCCCTCTGAAATATACTTCTCTAGTAGGTCCCTTGTTTCTAAAGGGTAGAATTTATAATGCCCTACCCACAATTTTTAAGGCCCTTATAACAATGAAACGCATGACTTGTGTACTGATTAGATTTATTAATTGGTCTACAAGTTCCCGTTAGTTTAATGTGTTTCTGACATACTTACATTGGCTAAATTATTGAGCCTGCCACCATTTTTAAACATGCCTCAAATTGTAAGCCCCCCTCCCCTAGTGTCCGCCACTGAGTCCAGTCTTAAAATGACGAAGTTTGTGAAAATGTGAATCACTTTTATTTTTCAGTGGGTTAAATCCCGCAGATTGTGAAGTGAACTTTTTAAAGATTATGAGATCTGTGGAATCGTATGGTATGCATCAGTATGAAGTAATGGTAAGTAGTTCAACAAAGGACAATAGACTAGAAAAGACCCATTGATTCGACCATGAGGGTGTGGCATTGCCCTGGTTAAACGATAGGCGAGTCATCGCAAATTTTAATTAAATTTTAGGGAGACAAGAATCGTAATAAGTATCACCTTGGTCTATCACACAAAGGAATTATCGTCATTAAAGATAATGCACATGTAGCAACACATGCTTGGTAAGCATACAGTACGATAGTTTATTTCGTTTTCCAGTCTTTGTAACTCAGGTTTACAGTACGTGAAGTTTCTTCCACTTTGAAGGAAACGCCCCTTTGAAGGACATTGGATTCGACTACAAGTCTATATATAACAAAGGCATTTAAAATGCTAGCGAAAACAGGTGGAGCTCTTAATAGCTGACATCCCCCATATTTTTACTTTTGTCGCTCAGAATTACATCAGTTTAAACAAGGTCCTTTCATAGTGGCACGTTGAAAAAATGGAAACCATTAGCAACACTAAGGCTTTGATTATATTTGAATGTTGTCTTCCGTTTACCAGTAAATATTTACTTTCACCACAATTTGATCCGACACGAAAACATGACACGTCACGGGCGAGAGGAAGGATCTGCGGTTTTGGTATAATACATATACTGTATGTTTAATTTCTGCAGTACATGTAACGTTTCCTTGTATTTATAGTATTGCAACTATCTTATTTTAGGCCAAGAATAATGAGTTTGTCTTTTAAAAGAAATCATTTCAACATCGTCGTTGAAAAAACAGAGGTTTGTCACAAACTTATTCAAATTTCCCTCTTTCGTTCAATATTTAGTTCTTACGACCTCAAGCTCAGAAATATGTTAATGTTTTTGAATGAGTTGAAACCGTAGGTAACAGATACTCTTTTACAATACATCATTTTGCTAGTTACATTCCTCCAAAAAAACAGTAGTTTCCCAACTTTTTACACTAATAAATGATTAGCTCACACCCGAGTGACGACTTTTGTCCTTGAGGGGAATTAGAGCTAAAAGAAATTTGCATTGGAAAAATAGTGTATTACAATAAATCAGTGGTGTTCTAGAACCTTAAACTGCAGTTGGACTGTAGCATGTAGCTGAGACTGGAATCAATGTATCGACTGTTCAATCATTTGTGTTTCACTTAGAGCCACAATAGAATTGCAAAACAGTACTTTGCCTACTGTGTAAAGCAAAATAAAAAAGGAACACCTTTGAAGAGGATCGACCGTGTGGGGAAACTACAGTAATTGTTTTAAATGATGATTGAACTGATGAGTCTCAGCTACATGTTATAGTGGAACTGCAATGTATTCCCAACGCAGAACGTGCCATTTGGATGCGCAGTCGCCATTTCGAATTGGTTGGAATCAGGCGTTTTGGTTTTTTTTTCTGCCGGGGAGGGGGGAGAAAAGAGGATCGAGAGGGAAAATGGGAGCGGATGAGATGAACCAGGAAATAAAGCATGCATGATATTCAGGTAAATGTATGTTTTGTTCTATTTTCAGAATCCGTCGGTACATGAGCCATTCTCGTTTACATTGGCGTCTGCCAAAGCCAGTAAACAGATGTGGAAAGCCGCTGTAGAGAGCCATTCTTTCTTCCGGTAAGTCAATCTTTCGAAACACAATAGTACTTTTCTTATTCGGTTTAAACATTTTCAATATCGAAATGTCTATATCTGTAATTTGCTTTATAGTTTGTTAAAAACAGGCGAGACCCCAGTATCTACTGCAAGTTTCTTTAGAAGAGGATCTAAGTTTAGATTCAGGTATTTTTATTATAATTATTTCCCAACTATATGCTGATCAACATTACTTATTTACGGTGGGTGCGTCAAATTCCCTGACGCGGACCTTGAATTTTGTAAGAAGCAGGAGAGTGTAAAATCGCTCTTCTCGTTTCGCTAAGGAGAGTAATAGGGGATGATAGGTCGGAATCTGACAAATATAGCATCAGAAAGGTAAGTCGCAAACTGGAAGTGATGTAAAAACGTCTCTTGCGAGAAAAATACTTTCATTAAAAAGTACCTGTTTGCTCTCCGCGTCAATCAAAACCCTAAACAATTTTGTTGTAAAAGCGCTCTCTCTCTCTCGAACATTTTGAGCGTGTGAGAGCGATGGTGCCTCTCAAAATTCAAGGTCTGCTGACGCCCGCAGCACAACAACCCATACGTCTATACTATACTATACTATACTAAGGCTAACGCTTTCCACACGAAATAAAATATATGCAGCACTTTATTGCGATATAGTACACCTTCCAATTATTCTGCCTATATCAACGATTATTGGTGGGTTAGGCAGAGAAGATTTTCAATTTTATATTTGTTTGTTGTAGTGGGAGAACACAACACCAAGTGAATTCAGAGGCAAAGAAAAGTGCGAGGAAACAGATGAAGATCGAGAGGTACAGTACATCTGTGGCGGATACTTCGCGAAATTTGGCGGATGGGGCAAGTTTGGGTTGCCACCATATGATAGGAATATTTCAAGGAGAACTTCGACGTTTCGAGCTAAGACCCTCGACCTCCCTACTCCGTAGAAGCTTAGAAGTGCTTATGTGAAGATAAAATATGAATGCGCTATTAAGTATGAATGCGTTAGACGGTAATGCCATAGACGGTAATTATATACAATAAAGAAACCGCTAAAATTCGGAGAGCGCGGGCTCCGAATTTTCGCAGTTTTTACTGTCTATGGCATTACCGTCTAGGGCATTCATACTTTAATAGCCCATTCATATTTTATCTTCGCATGTCTAAGTACTTCTATGGGGAGGAGAGGGGCCCTCGACGAAGGGCTTTCACTTTCCCTTGTATTTTTCAGGTAGTTGTAAGTTGTATCCCTATCAATGCAATATGTAGCTTAATCTATAGCCTAAATATAATTGTTACAGCTTTGTTTCACAGTTATTCAGCTATCAATCAAAGGTTTTCGGAAATTATTTGGGGGGGGGGCGGCTCGTCGGACGGTGTCCACCATTGCAGTACAACAGTACAATCTAAATTAGTTTTCTGATATTTATACAGGACAAAAAGCGAAAGATATTCCAAAAGATCAACTGTGGGTAAGGAGAAAAATAAGAAGTATTCTTTAGGTCCTCGAATAACAGCGAGTATAGCTCTAAGGATTTTAGCCTGCAAATACAGTCGTGATAACGAAGGAGTGAATCAGGCCGGCTGTATTCGCAGGCTATAAGGATTTTCACTGTGAGGAATATTTAAGACTTTTATATACATGTAAGTGTTCGTACTGTGTTCATTAATAATTTATCCTGCAGGTTATATCCGAGTGGGTTCCAAAGTGTGGGCCAAAGCACTAAATGGAGATTACTACAAAGGCGCTGTGACAGGCCTGGGTGAGAAAGTTCACATCAAGTTTAACAACGAGGATACAATAGCTCATGAACGAGATGCTGACGATTGTGTTGTATTTGATATGGACCCTAATCCCGAGGACATTCAGATTAATACCAGAGTCATCGCTCACTGGTCGTCAATCTCTGCCTACCTCTCTGGTACTGTAATCAAGATTGAAGGACAGAAATACTATGTACATTATGACGATGGAGACAAAGGATGGAATAGTATCAGACAGCTACGCATTTTAAAACCTCCAACATATTTTGGTAAGCTTTCTACTTTCTAGATTCTCCACACCTCGAACATACCTGACAAGTATGTCCTCTAATTCCTGCCCTATGTACGTTTAGCAGAATTTAAAAATTTAGTACCGCTTTTTATTCTGAAAATTGAGTTCAAATACTTATGTTTTTCTCACATGTAAGGCCCTGGTGCAAAACTACGTGCTAGAATCAAGAAAGTTGAGTCCTTCAAGGAGACCAGTATGATGGCTCGTCCGATAACTATGGAAAAACCGCTGAAAGCCAAGGAACGCAGGCGTTTAGAGAACAACGGTGAAACCAAGGCTCCTTCCCATGCTCCTCCTCCGCCACCAAACAGTGGTAACCACAACGAACGTAAGGTGTCCAGCAGCAAGAGCAGTGATGGCCATAATGAACAACGGAATAATAGTGCACCACGTCATCACTCTGCCTCCGCTGCGGAAAGACGAACTGCACTTGATAAACTACTGAACTCAGCTGACGTAGCCACTGATGTTGATACTGGACAGGCTGTGTTTGTTCATGACGAAGAAAGATATAGAAATAAACATGCTACTGCACCACCTTCTATGCGCAATCAAAGGTAGTGTTCAAGTGACTCATAATATCACAAACGTGGGGGTTCAGTGTAGGCAGTGTTTTTCAATAAAACTGTTGAAGTTTTGGTTCTAACTGTCCGAAAAACAGGTTAAGACGTTCCGACCAAAAGGCCCTTCATATGGAAGTAAAAGGAGGGCCTTAACACACTAGAATTTTTTAACATTTTTCTGGCAGTTCCGACCAAAACCTTCACAGGTTCAAAGTTTAGAATGTAGTTTTGAGAACTCAAGGGAACACATGGAAAAGCTACCACCTATCAATGTTAAATATATCAGATAACTTTACAGCGCTGCAAATAATTGTTTACGATCTGCTGGTCAAACGGCCAATCCTGCCGATCATATATTACAAGTAAATCATTATCCATACAAAAAAAGTGTCCGGGTTCGTATATTGCCGGTCATTGACCGTTGACCGGCCGTTACTGGCAGTGCTGCCTTTATCCAGATACATACAGTGTCATCTACTCATTCAGACTTGTAAAATTACCTCGTAAGTTTTGGTAGAGGACCACAGCCCAGAAATGTGCATTCTTGTTATCAGAAAAAGAAAATTATCAGAAAAACATTGATACGTGATTTTTCTTTAGACCCTCTCAAGAGAAGAGTTCAATATCAAGTGACCAGGTTTGAAATGTTCTATATTTCATAATTATTTACATGAAATATTAATAGACAGTTCCCCATTATAGGCTAATTTTAAAACTAGGCAAGGAGATGCAAATAAATCACCACAGCTAGAAAGAGTATTGTTAGCAAAGACAACGGATTAATGTTAAATGATCAAATTATGATTTTTTTTATTCTAGAGAGATTACTATTCGTCGAGACGTCCTGGTCCTCCGATGACAGAACTGTGACAGCATTGTGCACCTACTAAATTCTTTAAAAATTAATATACGCCTAAAAACAATACACGACAATACCAAAATGTTATCCACTAGAATCCTTTCTATATTTTCACTGGATATGGGGGACAAATTTATTTATTTAATCAGATATATTGTTTGGAGTTGATCTTACAAACAGATACAGCATATATATAAGAAGTTCTTAGATGTATAGTCACATGCATGTATTCTTTTAGTTATATAAAAGCCAAAGCACATTGGGGTCGGTCAGGGGGAGGTAGTGGTATACCAAATAATACTAAAAAATAGATCAAAATACCAAATGACCTTTGTAAACTTTATGCCAGAAATTCCCAAAATCTAAATATACCAAATGGCAAATACCCATAATTTCAATGCACTGTAAATGTACCGTATACAGGGTGCGATAATTCAATATTTTTAGCCGTACCTGACTGGTACTCCGACAAATTTTGCCGCGTACCTGATCTGGTACAAACTTAAGAGTCAAGCCGTACCTAAGACTACTTCCGAGTCACGCGTTTTTATACGTATAGTTTACTGGTCCAAAAGCATAAAATGTATGGGCAATTTTGTACAAATGAATCTTTAATTAATATGGTATTTGTACAACATAATATAACAGTTTTCAAAGCGTCGACGTTGTGACTCGAATGCCATCGCTCATTCACAGTGGATTTACCGAGGGTGCTAACAGTCTGACCTCAGCTACATACAGTGTAGTTTTCCTCATTGGGCCTAAAAAAACCTGTGGTTCCGGTTTCATATCGCGCAAAAATTAGGGTAGGTAGGTCGGAAATAAAAATTATTTTTTAAATAACTTTTTTTGAATATTTTTTCATGGTTTTGGCGGGATTTTTGGATGGGCGATTTTCAGTGGAGTCCCGCCATCAATATTAACTAGAGATGCGTAGTTCCTACGGACGAATTTAGGCAATTTGGTTCAATAATTATTGTGACAACAGACGCCATTTTGGCACGCTGTACGAGCAGCCCGGAACCGAAATAGGGTCGATCGTGTTGAAAAAAATATAGGGTGGGCAGAAAAAAATATTGTCGGTCGGGAAACCGGAACCACAGGTATTTTTTTAGGCCTTGGTATATAGCATTGACAATTAAGCCCAGGTCACACCACACAACGATAACGATACGATAACTTGTAAGCACGCGATGATTGGTAAAAAAATTATGTTGGTGTCCACACTACTCTACAGCGAAAACGATAAAATTATCGGCGTTTGACGATAACGATTTTAAAATCGCTCACCCGAGCGATTTTTTTCCGTTGACGATGACGATAAATTTTTTGATCGAGCGCAAAGATGTTAACCTTTTGGCTTTTTTCATCCCAAAATATGTCGGATGCGTGAAATTTACATGTACAGCTAAAGTTCTTCACGGTTTTGAATACTTTGGCAGGTCTGCTAGATATTGCTTGAAGGAAAATGTAAGTACGTGAATAGCAAATTTCCGCGTACCTACGTGGTACTTGCCTAAAAACAAAGAAGTACCAGACCATAAATTTGGCGTACCTCCGGTACGTTGGTACGCGAATTATCGCACCCTGGTATACCTGAATTAATAACCCATTAGATACCATATACCCAAAAACCCTGGCCGACCCCAGCTTGTTTTACATTGACGACTACTTCCGTGTGAATATCGCGATACCTCCATTTGTGTCAGCATGGCCTTTGTTGAAGTATAATCGGTGAGAAAATATCAATTCGTTAAAAATTCGTGTGTGAACAGGCTTTAAGTGTAGCGAACTGGGGGTTTTATATCTTAAACATACCAAAAGGTATGGTATTAAAATGACATTTTATTTCCCGTAACGGTATTTTAAATGTACTAAAATATAAAAAAATATTAATAGTTAAGAAGACTTAGTATTTTAGTGTAGAAATATTAATTTTGCTTTCAAGTATATAGATATATATTTATAACGCATTTAGAATAGCGAATATTGTATTATGTAAGCTATTAATTGTTTGTATACGCTGTATGCAGAAATAAAACATCCTTTTCTCATAAGAAAGTGTTTGTCTTTTTTGCCCTTCAATTTAGATATTTTATGCTAGACACATCAGAATAACAATGTTCTCCTAAATAGTCTTCATAAATTCTCAATTTCTAATTCCCTCATAAATACACCTTCGGGATAGTGGTGATTTTTTCAAGCTTTTTAAAATATATGCATGTTTCTTTTTATTAAATGTGAGTTCCATGCATATCCGACCGTAGTTTTATAACTTTTGAAGCATTTTTAAAACGGGCAGGGGCGTAGGAAGCATCAAAAGCTCGAGCGGGACCCGGTTTCGAGGGGCACTTTTTTCCGGAAATGTTGGCGACGGGAGGGAAAAATAATTGCAATCATTTTTCACGAAGGCAAAGGGCACTTTGCCACCGGAGAGAGGGTACTTTTTGTGTTCTCTGAAAAACACGGGGCTTGCCCCCCCCCGCCCCCTCGTCCTACGCCCCTGCTAATGGATCGCGCCTTTGCTGCCTCGTCCCCAGTCGCTTTCAAAGAGGGGAGAAGAAAACGAGAAAAAAATCATATTTCAATATCCCATCATGCATTGCCCGGCAACTTATCACAGCCACTGATCTATATAGATTGCAATTGCACTGCACTGTTTCCAACGAAGGGCCTGCGGAGGAGGCAGGCGCATTTGAGCAACCGCGCTCCACCCTTCATATCGTTGGTTCTTTTTAATAAGATATTCAGTCTTAGGATTGGGCAAATAGAGTTTGATGGAAGAGCCGAGAGTATTTTAGGCGCTAGATTAACACTTCAGTACACATAGGTTTTGACAAACCAAAGAGTGAGACGGAATGCAGTGCACTGACATTGTATTGTATTGCATGTTTTCCCTTGACATTGTTAGACATGCATTTTCGTATCCAACTGTTTTCAATTCCATGATTTCAAGTGAAGCATATATAGTTCCAAACTATCTTTCATATTTTACCTACAGGCAACACTCGGTGTTTACACATCGACGAGGGGTAAATAGTCCATTTGTTGATCTGATGATTTGATTCTGATCGTGATAACATTGTTTCCATATATTGTCGTTAAGTACTGGTGTCTCGCAGATATCGATTTCATTCTTAATTTAGCTCATGCCCTTGACTGGTCTTGACAGCTCTTGCTTTTGTTTTTCGTTCAATGTCATGCATGTGACCTTCAAGACTTGTTTACCAAGTCTCTTGCGTTCAAAGATCATTCGTTCATTCGGTTGTTTTTGAGCGGCCGCGATTTCTGTGAATGGGTTATATTCCCATGTCCGGGTTAGGGGAGGGGTTAGTGGAGTTAGGATTGGAGTGAAGGTCAAAAAGAAACATAACCGTACACGCAACACGAGGATAGTACTATCGAATGAGACTAAATCTTGCTCACGTTCACCTTTTTCAATTCACTGCGTGATCAATTCCAGTTCTCACGAAAATGGAAAGTGCAGATATTTAGGTAGACCTAACCTGAAATTCAGGCCCTAATTTTAAAATTATGGCCTGAATTTCAGGTTAAGGTAGACCAGGATCAAAGCACTATAGTTCTTGGTAAGACTCAGTAAGACTCTGGGGATAACTGCATGACGGTAAAGTTGATAACGAAAATAGAACTATACTTCCACTGTCGATCTACTCCATACGTACATGCACTCCAGTTGTAATCTCAGTCAAGAAGAGCACAACTGGAGCTTCTGAAACAATATTAATTGTGCTGCCACGCATCGGGTATTTAGTTTCATGAGTTTTTTCTCGATCATCGCTCGATCATCAATTAGATTAAAATTAATTAACTGTCTTCTGATTATGAATGACCATATGTCGTGTCATGACATTTGTTGTGTTTTTCGGCATTTTAAATATTACCGGCAGGATGTTCAGATGAAGTAATCCGCAATTTACCTAGCCGAAAGGCAAGGTCAAGGCTTATTACTCACGAGAAATTTGGCAATAATGTAACACAACGATACAAATCCAAATAAATAAATAATAGTAATAATTTGGACAATAATATTAACATAATAATTTGGCAATATGTAACACAAGGTTAGTAGTTACAAATCCAAACTATTAAATAAATAAATATTTAGTTTTATATATACCTTATTTTATATAAATTTCATCAAATCAAAATATTTAAATTTTCAGCATATATTCATGCCCAAACGAAAGCAAAAGCTATGCCAGCAATGTGATAACTAGACTTTCGTCGCTCGCTTGCGTTAATCATGATAATTTTTAAGAAGTAATCTAGAGAAGTCGACCTGTGGCAAGTCTATGTGACGACTGCAGGACTGATTCAGTGGCTTGTGATCTCGAATCTAGTCCCTTCTAGTTCTATGAATAGAAAATTTAAAATCAGGTTGGGCTAGAGTCGCTAGACTGCATGCAAGTACCATGTTATGGTGTGTTTATTCTTATATAATCTGATTATAACTCCGTTTTAACCTTGGTAAAAGTGTTAAAATACGACCATGCATGGTTATGAGCTGTCAAAACCTGTAATGGTGACCTCCAAGGGGGATTTTACGCACTAGCTGATCTAAGGTTATACGTACTAATGGAGGTTAACCTGCTCCCCTCCCTCCCAGATATTAAGAGGAAAGGCGTCTGTTTTCAATATAATCCCAGATTTTGGGTGTCAGTGACTGTGTAGGTAAAGAAGAATACAAGGTGGGCCTAACGACTTACTACAATACGAATTTAATTCACCCTGCAGGTGGTTTGCAATCAATCCCCAGGAATTCAAAGGATTTTCCTCATGTGGCCAAATAGATTTCCTCATATTGGAAGAAAGTAAATTGCAATTTTAGTTCCAAATTCATCCAACATCATGGATATAATTCATGCTTAGTGAATGAAGAAGGAAGGTATGTGATTACAAAACTAAAATCAAACCAAAACAATTTCGATAATGTGTCAAAACTTGTTTATTTTATCAACTGTACGTACAAATTGACCCATAGACCCTTCCGAGTGACACCCAGACAATTGCGTAAGAAACTATTTGACCTTAATAATGATAATTGGCATAGTACTCGAATGGAATTTTCATGTGCACAATAGGATTTTCCATTCGGCTAAAAGCAACAAGCAAATAGATTAAGACAAGCTCAGTGATGATATTAATATGGTGGTGTTGACTTTTGACAACACGGACGTAACGCGTCCATGTTACGAAAATAGCCGTTCTTGCTTGAAATCAAGAACGGCAGTTTATACCATTTCGCATACATGCATGCATGATTTCAAGTAAAAACACGGCTACTGCCATTTCTCACGACTTGATCGGATATCGTATGCGTGATGTCCTTGTTGACAAAATTAAAACATCGCGTGCTTTTTAAGAAAAACTCTCTTACCGTCTCATATTCTTTTGGTAGTTATAGGATAATAAAAATATCTGGATTATATTTTGAACTTAATAATTAATGACAGTAAATGTGAGAATTTTGTAATAAAATACTTTATTATATAGCAATTGCAAGGTGGTCCATTTGCAAATTGCGAACATTTTCAGCCGATTGGTTCCTGAGCGATCGGTAACCTGCCAGTACGAACCGCTCACTTGGACCGCTAGCTAGATGATATATTATATAAAGATGGATTGCTTGCAAAGAAAAGTTTTAAGTTTAAAAATAACTCTTTCCCCAGCGATTCAGCGAAAAAGACTCTAAAAATATCTGGCCTAATTTTTTTTATATGATATAGAGAGAATAATACATGGGAGCGCGGAAATACCAGATTTATTTCGAGTGTTGAACATGATATCTCACGAGTGAGCGCAGCGAACGAGTGAGATATCATGTTCAACACGAGAAATAAATCTGGTATTTCCAAGCACCCATGTATTTTTCTGTTTATTATATAAACAAAATTCAGTGAAAAACAATAAAACGTCCGTGGCAATGCGTTTTACAACTAATGATATTTTCACACGTAAAAATATCGTATTTTTTACGTGTGTTTAAATACGATTTTTCTCAGTGGCCAAAAACTCTATGGGTGGGGGGGGGGGAGGGCAGAAGGAAAAGCTACCCCCCCAGAGAAAATCCAACTTAGTAAAGTTGAAGGAAGTAAAACACTGTTCCTTTTAAATATCTCGAAGAAGACTAGCAATGATTATGCTTTACGAGGATTCCTCGATTATTCCAACGCCAGATGATGCTTATGCACGAAAAGCTAAATGTGCCGCCAAATGGCGCACATAATGTTCAGACTTGGAAAAAATATACTGTTACTCTGATCCAAAGTTTGCCCATTTCAAATGGATGAAAATTCGGACAAAATCAGAAATTCATTCCCTCAGCTTAATTAATATTGAAGAAAAATATTCTTCCACTTTGCATGAATATAAATACAACTTCATTATGGTTTAATATTGTACTATATACTACTGTTCTATTTTGTAATAGAATCCTCAGAATAGTAAAACTCATGAAGCTCAATTATATTACCATTATTTGACGGAAAATTGGCCAGGAAAGATTATATTGTTCATTCTGTTAAAGGGAGTTTTGTTTCACATTATGATCTGATACACGATTAGATCCTTTAAAATGTGGAAAATTCACAATGTTCTTCAGCTTCCCAGGATCTTAATACTCAGGCAAATGCTCCTCAAGATCCAGGATCAATCCCGAGATCCCACTTTTTTCCAGGTGAATGTTTGCATGTTGTGCGGAATGAAAGTGTACGCATGGCCAGAAATTCAGGACATGCGCCCGCAATATATCTCAGCGGTTTTTCCTATGAAAAGTTATTCATGCCTAACAAACGCAAGTTTTAACTAAAAAAATACATTTTGCTTAGTTTTTTGTTTAACTAAAGCAGAAAAATACATATATTAGGTATTGACGGCCTTTTACATACCTTTCATTTATTATGATGGGATATAAAGTGATGCGCATGGTAAACGACTCAAATATTTTGTGTATACATCGCTATCCCTCCGTGTAGCCCACACTGGAAGAAAGCCTGGTTCCTAAGCTTCTTGTTGATATCAAACATGGACGACAATTCATGAAACATCGTTCTTCTTGCAATGTTTTACAGCCTATCGGCAGGGTATTTATGGGTAAAATATCAACATTTTGTCCCGTAAATTGGAACAAGTTAAAAAAATCGTATCACTATGAAATTATGCAGACAAGCAGGGGACAACATATATTTTACGACGCGAAGTCTGCAAATTTCATGAAGGGTTCGAGGGATACATGCGGCCAGAGCAAAATGTACGTTTTGAACGATTTTCTCAAGTTTTACTATACTTTATTATACGCCGATGTACTATGAAGTGAACTTGAATAATGGAACAACTTATAGGTAAGATTCCGATGCGAAACTTTTTTGTTTTACGGTCCAGATATAGTTTAGGCCGATGGAATTGACAACTTGCATGTTAGACAAATTTTTGATCTAGCCGATCTAGGCACAAAAAAAGTAAATTCCCGTTAAGAACTTGTTAAAATTAGTAAACTTGCAAAATTTGGTTGCGAAAGGTTGTAAAGCTTGGAAAATATAGCTTTGCAAAGTTTCAATATTTTCAGTATATTTGTATTACGTGCGGTAATGGGTCATTCCATTTATTATCCGCACCCCCCCTATGGATGAGCTCTGGTAAAAATGTTACCTGTAGGAATCGGATTTCAGAGAAGTACCCTGTTGGAATCGACAGTATCAATCTAAACCCTAGGAATGCTGCTAATTGCCAATATCTCACTGGTAGGAATCTGCTAATTGCCAATATCTCACCGGTAGGAATCTGCTAATTCCCAATGTCAGACCGGGGGGGGGGGTGAGAATAATAAATGAAATTATTATGATTCTCATAATAAATATTTGGCAATATAGTATGCTACACCTTGACGGCAATATCTGACCGGTAGGAATCGGGCCAAAGGAATCTGTTAATTCCCAATATCTGACCAGTAGGAATCCCCTAAGTCCTAATATCTGACCGGTAGGAATCCGCTCATCCATAGGGGGGGTGCGGATAATAAATGGAATGACCCATTGTTACCATTTTTGAGCCGAAAATGGTAACAATTTCCGCTCGTAATACAAATATACTGAAAATTTGCAAATTTCGCAAGGCTATAGTTTCTAAGCTTTACAACATTTCGCAACTGAATTTTGCACTTTTACTAATTTCAGTATGTTCTTTTTAGCTGTGGTGTTTGATTCCCTTTTCTCTGCTTAGATTAAAATTTAGTCTAACATGCAAGTTGTCCATTAAGGTATCAGTTTACCGTCACCTAAAATTTCAAAAGTTGATGCGGATTTTTTTCATTATTCATTATTCATTATTTTTCACGATTTGAATTTGTCAAATTTTGACCTGAAAATCCAAATTTTGACCGAAAAAATCCAAGAAAATTTTGACGATTCTTGAGCTTTTTGCTAGCTTCCGAGCTATCAGCCATGCCTTTGACTCCGTTTCGCTGTGGCTTCGCTACGCAGGCTATGGCTTCGCTAACTGTATAAACAAAGTCAGTATTTGCCAATAATTTCAACAGAAAGCCATTTTTGAAACACTTCCTCTACAAATTTGACAAATAATGAAAAAATATTGAAATAATGAAAATTTCACGCGGCTGCCAATAACACACGCGGGCGGGTGACGGTAAACTGATACCTTAATTCCATCGGCCTTATATTATTGCGAAGCCTGCAAATGACATAGCTATTATGAAACAAGTTTAAATTTAAAAAAACCGCACCACTCCTAATGATTAATAAATAACAAATCCGCCATTTTGTTTGTCAAAGTTCGCACATGCTCAGAATCAATGTCCGTAATTTCTGGCCATGATTTGTGACTGTGGAAAATATCTCGATTTTCAGAATTCAGACATATTTATCTCTTAATATGGAAAGTAGTTATTTAGAAGTGTTGAAGTATTAGATGCATCATTTTGTGCATGTCATTCAGAATTGTGTGATCAAAATGCAGGAAATTGCATTTTATAGACTTAATATAAAAAAATTGAAATTGTCTTGCGCCTTCGGCGTTCGTTTTCCTACACCACCATTGGCACCATAAGCACCATTCCACCCATGCAAAGGACACCACTGGCACTGCCCAGTGCCCCCAGCCCCAAAATCCTGTGTAAGGCCTTGCGTCTAGTTATGGCATGCTTGAAATATTTTAAATCAGTATGTGTACAGTTTAGTTTGTGGGTGTGCAATGTGCCTCCACGTATCAATTTTGAGCAATATATTACCTCAACTTTCCAACTACTGGACCGAATGATTCGATTGATCTAGTTTCCTGACATTTGAGGCATGTTTCATCTTACTGACTGATTAATAATATACAAATAATGAATGTTTATGAGTGCAATGGTAAGAATATTTTCATGAGGTGAAAGATGGAATGTTCCATTCAACGAGGCGACAGCCGAGTTGAATGGAACATTCCATCTTCCACCGAATGAAAATATTCTTACCATTGCACGAAGAAACATTCATTATTTGTTTTATATAATACCAAAATAGACTAATAGATTCGTATGAGAAGCATTTTGAGGGATGCGATTTATCGAAAACACAAAGAGTGCAATTGTACTATATGTTTTATTCCATTGCACTCGCGGAGAGTGCAATGGAACGTGTTCCATTGCACTCTTGGGAAATGGAATTTTCTATTCAATATCACGTGACCATAAACAGCCAATTAAACGATTAGAATTTAATAAGGTATTATATAATAATTTATAATTTATCATTAAAATTTGTTCTATATCGTTGTTGCATGTACCGTGCATGTATCTATTTGTATATTTTTATACAGTTTATATTGACATTTAATGTTGTAAGTACTATTGTAGTTTTGATGCAGTGTAATTTTGATTTCAGTGGGGACTGAAAAACACAGACGTATATAATGGTGGGCAGTTTCCACTTACAGAGAAATATTTCGCTTGATTTCTTTTGGATTCTAACCATCCGAATAAATCAGTTCTACTTGACCGCTCACAATTAAAAAAAATTGAGCGAGAAATTTCGTGGAAATGTAACTTAATTGAGCATAATCACGTCTGGAAGTACATACAAATCACGTGTCCTGCAATACACCCTTTCGATAATTACGTCACACATAATTTTTGGTCTTGCAGCCTCGCCCTCATCAGTAAATTACGCAAGGTGATTGGCTCACCATTCATGAGAGCGAGGCTCCCAGGCCAAATTATGTAATTATCGAAAGGGTGTATTTCGTAAAATCGCAAAGTTCGGCTCATTTTTCAACGTAAACGTACGTAAACGTATATACGTATACCGTACGCCGCCTTGTCATTCGGTCTACACACTAATCACTATATAAAAACAGATTGGTTATTAAAATAACCAATTTGAATTAATTGTGATCCACTTATTTGACCAGTATTTTATTGGTTGTTGTTTTGGCCAAATAATATTGTTAAAAAAAAATGGATCCGAGACAATTCAAAATGGTTGTTCAACTAATCCGTTTTTACAGTTCATGGAACAGGCGTATAAACATTGCCTATATTTAACTGGCGCCCAACTGAATATCCAATTTTGATTTCATTTTCAGTTCCAAAGTCTTTGGAACAAAGATCTCTCTCAAGTCTTTGGCAAAGATCTCACTCCTGTAACCTATATGGAGGTTATATAAGTCTTATACTATATTTTCACAAACGTCAGTCACGTCTTAGGAAGTCGATCCTGGAAGTCGATCCTGGATCACCCCTTTCTGGAAAATGTTTTAGGATCTGTTGAGTGACAAGCTGGCAACCCTTCAACAAAGTTGCTTTTGGCACGAACTGATTCTCTGACGTTGTCGATGTGAATTCGGAAGTTTGCTCTCTTAATTCTATGGACTGTGACGTAATTTGCATGACATCAGCCATTGAAATAGCTGAACATTTGCGTTTTTTAATTTGATCTTTGAATCGTTCACAATGGAAATTACAGAAGTTATCTTTGCCTGTGAGGATTTTGAAGCATCCAAGAATTTGCTATATAGTCTATACTCTATAGATAATAATTATAGTCGAGATTATAGATACTACAGTCAAAATACAATTTCCTTTATTCACCTACAGGTGAATGATGGCGGCCAAGCCGTTTTGTGAAAGTTACTGATAAAGAAATAAGCGAAATTAAAATAAATTCAGTCCCAAAAAACACGTCAAAAGACTTGTGTAAAAATTAATACTAAATATAAAACAATTATTCGCCTCATCAGGCTCGGTGATTATCGGGGAATATTCACCTCGACTTCGTCTCGGCGAATATTCCCCGATAATCAGCTCGCCATCGGCGAATAATTGTTAAATATTAAGATCAACACTAGTGCCGCGTGGAAATTGGGAAAACTCGAAATTTTGTGAAGACACTCAGCCCTCCGGGCGTTATGTTTCGACACAATTTCTCACTTTCCATTCAATTTCCACTCGTTTTGATATAACTGCAGTATATCAACACAGAAAATGTTTTATAAATAAAATATCAATGAAATAACTTTTTATTTGATTACCAATATGGCAACAAGAGAGATATAAAGTCTATGTCGTCAATGGGCAATGTAAATTGTCATGTGCCAGGAAAGTTTTACGTCAGTCATGTTTACTTTGTGCATGCACAAGTTCACTCAAGTGCGACTTATGTGGTGTAATATTTTCAAGGGCAAACGCCAGAACATCACTTATTAGCATGCATCGGTGTTTCCTGTTCTTGAATTAATTTGATATAGTAGGCTACCTCTTTTCGTAAAAAAATATGCCGCGGGTTATAAACGCCGAGTCCCCGGTTGATCGTTGAGTTCCTAATTTTCATATACTGACGCTGTCCTGATTCACTGCGGACACTATATAATAATATAAATACATGAGATCCAGCTCCATCTCTTTGGAAATTGTTGTGCATTTCGGAATATTGCTTTTTTTAATAGGTGTTTTTTTTTCGCATTGCATGTCAAACGTATATATACGGTATAAAAAAGCTTTAACTGAAATCCTATTATAGTGGGTCTAAGTGGGTATTACAAGACAGCAGATGGATTTGACTTGTAATTCAATTAAATTTGTAAAACTTATTTGAACCGCAAAGACAAAATTTTTACAATTTTGAAGTATACCGATAATTTAAATAATGATTAATGATTCTGACAAGAATAAGAAAATAAAGGCTACGGGCTACCTCTCTCAATTTTTTTCCCAAACATAGGAATGTATAATAAAAAATTAATATTTCACACAAACGTCTTAAGTTCCAATATGAGACTGCCAATTGAGCGCTCTCTGCTGCACGGTAGCAAAGCATATAGAGATATTTGGTGTAGGCGGGGATCAAATCAGCTGGAAGAAAATTAAGAATATTATCAATTCTCAGTTGGAGGTATGTTTGCATATTTCCCTAAATAACGTTCAAAAATTGTAAACTATTACCACGAAGCCTTATATCTGTAATAGAATACTGACAGTTTTCGTACCACCCAAGACGTTCAGTATTTACATTATTTCATTTTAAATGTTGATAAAAACACCAAAACTAACAAAATGTATTTTGATACAAAATGGGAAATAGTAAGTTCATTGACATTGTTGCTTGCTTTTACCTAACCTGTCTCCCTACATAGTCATAGGCTATATTAAATGTATATATACGTACATATATGTATTTAAAAGTGATGGTCAAAGGTGATGGACTGATGGTAATACTGTGCATGGCAGTGATTGCACTGCTTGTGTGCGAGCACGTTCCTAGCATGAAACATTTCACACACAAAAATCAGTACCCACACAAAAGTACTGAATTTCCAGGCCAAAATCTTGATGCACAAAAAAACTTAGCTTTGTTGTTCTTAAGTTTCAGATCAATCTTGGAGCACGAGTGTCTGGAAACCGACGTGGACTAGATTAAAAACTGTTCTTGTCAGTGACAGTGTGTGGTAATCTTCAACACATACGTAATATGACAAAACATAAGATTTTTAAAATCCTTTGCTACCTGGTTACGAGCGCTGTGAAGCAAAATGGCAATTATAGTTGTACTAAATTTTGGATTGTTGACAATTAAAGACGTTGCTTGCTTTTAAGCTCACTAGTTTCCCTTGACCGCTTTGCCAAACAATGAGCGGAGAACAAACTTTAGTTCTCGTTTCTCTTTTTGGTATACCGCCAACCTCTTAAACCTACTATAGCCTACAGTTAAACTTTTATTTTTTTTTCTGAAGTTTATCATGTATATATAAACAACATACGTTTTTCAAATATTTTAGATAATATTGGATTATTGGTATGGCCATGCAATACAACCTCGTTCCCAGGCTCTTGCAATATAGCCTGCAATGTAAGTATAGTAAATTGAATTAAATTAAATTCAATTGTTTTGATCGAATCACTCAATTCAGCCCATCCCAACTGCTGACTGTTCATATTGTTGATGGATCATAGTTCTATACCAAACGGTTAAAACATAAGAAAAAATATATAAACTATAAATGAAACCGGTTTCAGGGCTTTCTTTTCTTTTCTTTTCTAATCATTAATCTAATGTGTGACGTCCGTTTAAAGTGATTCAAAGATCATTCAAAAATCGTCCGAACTGCTTTCCGTCAGACAAACATTATATATGGAGCAGTGCTGTTTTGTGATTTCAAGTATTATAAATTTTGCAATAAAATTAAATAAATAATGAATAATGTAGCTAGGTTAAACAAATAGCAAGTCAAGTTTTGTACTCGAAACTACTGGCTGAGGCGACCTGACAAATGGAGTATAGCTAATGGGCCTATATGCCTAGTTTATAGTGAGTTATTGAAATATTTAGAGTTTAGCTGCACGTTCTGTCGCCGCAATCTTGTTGTGTCATTGACTCAGTTTAAATTGCGAAATATGTTTACATTATAGATAAAAATCGTTTCTCGAATTTCTCTAAAATTGTTATTCTATATATTGCTGTTAATGTTGCTGTTTGGAAACACGATGTCAGCTGTTTGGAAACACGATATCACTGCGGTGAAGAATTATTGTACTGACTGACCACACATCTGAATTTTTCAACTAACTACAACTGAACCTATATGACTGTCTTCGTATTAAAAACTTGATATGAATTATATTTGGATATTTCACTATTACTGAAACCGGCTTATATAAAGTTGAAAGATGATTCAGCATGAGGTTGCAGTTCAGTCATCGACTCATCAGTTCATTTTTCAGGTCTTAACCTGCATCAGTATTTTCCCCTGCTGTTCAATATTTCTTTGTACCGCTGGCATCGTCTAAAACCTTACTTCTTAGCGATAATTGGAAAATTGAATGTGGGTCGGTGATAATTTGTCTGCCTTAAAAAAGTGATTAGGATCATAGCTAAGTCAGTAGAAAAAATGATTTTTAAAATTGCGCAAAGAAAGCGCAATATATAATTACAAGAATTTATGTTTTTTTGCAACGTTAGCAAGTACATTTAGTTGCTGTCTGCGCATGTCCAGTAGGTCATGTGAACTACTGATAAAAACCTGATTAGACAGGTTTTCCCGAAACGCATTTTGATTGGTCGTTTTATTTGTGTATATACAGTGTATAAGCTTCGGGCGGTAGACAGTGTGCTTGGTACTGTGGTTCATACGAATATACCGAACCGAGAGAACAAGAAATGCGAAGATGAAATTACTTGTCGCAACGTTGTTCTTGTCTGGCGTTCTGTCAGGTAGGTTGAAGAATTTCAGAATTTTTACCGTTCTATTGATGCTTTTTCACGTAAAATATTCGCCCCATGGCTATACTGTGAACTTGTGGCTTGGCTAAAAATACATTGGCGTTTTTGTATTTTGTATTAATTGCGCATAATTTACCAAACGCAATTTCATGCTAGTATCGTCTGCTGATATGACACAAGAAGTTTTTCATAACATATCTCAATCTATCTGTATAATAATACCATATTTAAACCCTGGCTTCGGTGTATTCTGCATTAAAATATTACCGAGAGAGGAAAGGTTTTTATTATAAAGAAAAAGTCAGATATATAGTGATAGTTATCAACTAAAACCAAGAATTTAACTGTACATGTTTCAAGTTCTATAGCACTTATTAAGGTGGACTTTGCCCAGATGATATTTGGCCAGATAAATTTTTAACGCTAACATTAGTTTAGTGAGGCCGACTAAATTGATTTCTTTTTCTCTTATTATCTAGCGCCATTTAACGTGTTAAACAGACCAGCCGTACCAGTATGCAATAGTGGTAAGGGTTTTATTTCGCATGACCTTGGTTTACCTTAGTCACAAAAATATTTGCGCCTTGAAAAGAAATCACACAATGTGGACCTATTTTTGGATAATAAATCAAGTTCCACATTAAATCATTTCATATTCTGAAATAATGAAACAATCGAACATATTTAAACTCTACCCGTATATTCAAAGAATACGTGTTGTTTATATTCATAGGAAGGAATTTACCCTTGAACTTGTGTCAGATCTGAATGAAACTTGATATCTTTGGCCTTATATTTTAGCAATTATAATTGTTTATCCTTTTCTGGATTTCTCCCTTTTTCCCAAAGCTTTATTTTCGTTTTTCAGATGCATCTCATTTTCATACAAAAAAGAGTCTATTGTACTCATATGAAGGGGAGACGATTACGGGTTTAGTCGGCACTTCTGAAGTGCGTTCTGGACTCAAACTGAGAGCAAAATGCAGGATAACACCTGTTCTACCATGCATGTATATGCTTCAGGTAAATAACGCATTTCCTACAACATTTTATTGAAATACCTAGTATTTAAGACTTGCGCAAGTTTGTTTATTCGCGCACGAAAGCGTGTTTAATGTAAAACAGATGAATCAAAGGCTTTTACTTTTAATTGGCGTGCCTAAGACGATATAAGACTCACGCTGGGGTTTAGATCCAAGTCCTGTTTCAAAGCCTGTTTTGGACGTCGAAGTTCCGTTGAATTTAATTCGTTAAATTTAATGCTGCTGAATTTTTTATTCGACAGAAATGTACATTTTAAATGGTTTTTATATTAGACTCAGCACATAAAGTACGACTTCGACCGTTCGACGGGTTTCATCGCATAATTGATAGCCCGCGCGCAGTTCCAAAGGATGTTTGACGATGTCACGAGACTGCATAGGCTACACAATTGACAGAAATTGACTTCGAAATTGAGTCAGTAAAATTCAGAAGCATTTGAAACTGAACTAACTAATTCGACGCAAATTCGACGTCTATTACATGCCTAAGGTTTCTTTAAGTTTAAATGAGTTTCATAAATATAAATAAGGAAATATTTTATTCCCAGATCACGTTCACTTAGTTATTTTCCTCATTCTTGTGCCATGATTTTATTATTAGTGACGTAGGATGTTTCGTATTTTCGTTTCAAAAACATAACGTCATGGGATTCCCTGAGTTTATATAATTTAATCTGTTTTCTTAATCTGTCATCAAATTTTATTTTCGAAATTAATGGTGGCGTATTTTTATTTTTTTATTGCATATTGTAGATTTTTGAAGCCGAGCTCCTGGAAGGCCAGGGCATGAAACAAGATGCTTTAGATTTCAAGCTTTCTTCGGGAAGCGAAGATCTGAGCCGAGAGCTTAAAGCTCGAGATTTGTATTTTGAAAGTCACGAGGGCGTGATTACAAATGTCCAACCACAACCCGATGAACCTGTCCATGTTCTGAACATGAAACGTGGTATCCTGAGTTCATTTCAACTAAAGCTTGTTGATAAAGACCGCACTTTGACTGAGGTATGTCATAATTAGACAAAATATTTACTAGACGGCTGGTTAATCACATTTAACTCTTTCCGAAACCACAGGATGTTCAACTGTCAAAGTGTCATCCTGCTTTGTAAATGACGTCAGTGTTCACATTATATCATGAAACATTTTCCGAGGGGCAAATTACTCTGAAAATCTTCGTACACTTCATCAAAAATCAAAAAAAATCTTTGGAAAAATCCAAAATCTTACTAAATCCCAGAATCCCAAAATCCCAAGAAATCTCTAAAAATTACATAAAATACGTGGAGAAAGCCCAATAAAATCCCCAAAATTATTGCAATATTGAGAAATCCCATCAAATTTAAACATTTAAATCATGAATTCGGCGTGAAAATACCCTTCGTTGATTTACTTCATTTTAGAAATAATTCGACGGATTATATGTCGCAAAAAATGTCGGCAAAAGTTCGGCGAAAAAAATAAGGGAAAATATTTCGAAAAAATCAGCTGAAAAAAATCCCAAAATCCCTTAAATTTGGGGAAAAAATCCCAAAATCCCGAGAAAAATTGCCGGGATTTTCTAATTCCAAAAATCTTCGTACTCTTTTTTCAGAGTAATTTACCCCTCGACATTTTCTAAGAAAGAAAACACAAAATTTGTGCATCAGTGCATAATTCTTTGTTGGCATAATTTATAAATATTTATATTGATGCATGTGTAAATATTTAAGGATTTTTCGCCCAGTTTGAAAAGCACGAACTCACGAGTTTTATTTGCTTTGGGTGGTTCAAATTTGTAAATTGGTCGGTACGCCAGCGTTGGATTTATATGGGATTTACAAACACGAGCCGAAGGCGAGTGGTTACAAGTTTCATACATCAATTGGACGCGAATGCTTTATCATACTAGCCTCTAGGTCTAGGTCTGTTAACCGTGATCGTACCTATCGCATCCATACATATGAATGTTCGTGTTTCTCGACTATTATTACAAATTTATAAACTGTTTTCTCTGAGAAAATCAATGAAAAAGATTATGCTAATCAAGACGGAATTTTTTAATATATATTCTTCGATGAATTATTATTGATTTGATAAATATCTTAAGGCCTCTTAACAGTCTGCATAACTGTCACTCGACAACATTCCATATACAACAATTGGAATACAGAAACCTTTTGAGAAGTTGAAACAAAAATACAAAGCGCATATTTTCAAACTGAGTTTCCAAACAATGTTTTATTTCTTTCCTCGCGCCGTTAGTGGTTAGAATGTATTTATATTTCACCAGGAAGCTTTTGTTCAGTTGTTGAACAGATGTTTTACATCACCCAGCTCAAGTTGACCTTTTGCAAGCGACCTAGAATGCCCTTGCTTTTAATAGGATATGCATGTGTCGCTGATACGGAAAACTCCCGTTGGTTTATTAATCAGACATCATCAACCAATTCAACAGATGTCATTCAAGGAGACATTTGATTTTTGTAAGGCTAAAATTCTACAAAATAGAAATCAGCAATTTTAAGTTAATTTTTTCCTTATGGGGCATTGTGCATACTCTATATGAATAAACTCCATCATGATATAAATAATATATTTCTAAATAGTTTTCAACCTCTTAATTGGCTTTTTGAAAAAAGTTTGGAAATTGAAATTTGCCAATTACGTAATTTCAATATCCCACTGAACATAATAATAATAATCTTTATTCATCAAAATACCAATACAGGCACATATGAAATTACATACAATAAAAGATACAAAGCGTATCTATATGTGATAGTTGTTATAAGATATAAGATTATAAAAAGTGCATTAACATTTTTTATATCATGAATGAAGATATGCATGATTACATAATGCACTGATTATCATATAATAGAAGAATATCATGAAAATATTTTGCTACTATTTTCATGATAGATTTATCATGTATATTAAAAATATATAAGAATAAATTATTTGTACCAAATAGGCGGAAAGAACTATTGATACCATATAACTCGTTTAAAAAAATATTTCGAGTTTCTGAAATTTTTTGGTTGGAGCATGATAATAAGTAGTGAAATTCATCTCCAATTTCACTCGATTGACATAAGGTACAAAACCGATCTTCGTATGGTGTTTTGGTATATCTTCCAGATTCAACCGGTAGTTTGTGCGCAGATATTCTCATTTTTGTTATTGCTTGGCGATGCTTAACATTGCATATTTCATGAAGGTATTCTTCAAATACAAAATTATTCTTAACTTGTACTAGAGTTCTTAATTTACCACTGTGACGACTTTGTTCAATCTGATCTTTCCAAAAATGAGTAAAATAAGTAGATAATCTATTTTTTAGATATGTACCTACATTATGTAAACTTTCAAGTGGGAGAGAAATACCGTTTAGTGAACCCAGATCACATAGTTTTAATATATGGTTTGTAAAATTAACTGCCTGAGTATTCGCTCGAATATTAAAACTCGCTGCCTCTCCTACAAGAGTATTCATATAATTCGGATCTTTAATTCGTATATGTATATTCGTATATTCGTATATTCGTATATTCGTATATTCGTATATTCGTATAAATACAAGTTTCATAATGATGATTATGATTTCTATAACAGTCTCTTAACAGCCGTGACTTTCTGATGTTCTGGATTATGTTTTGATGCCTGGTGTTACAGACATCTACAAGAAATTCATGCACTTAATAAATATATTTATAATATAGCATTTGTAAATTCTGAACGCTGATTGGCTGAGAGCCGTGTTGATATAACTCAATGTCAACACGGGAAATTTTCCGCCGCTTGTAAACACGGAAATTTTTCTTATCCTTCGGGCTTTTGACATTGCTATATTATAAAAAATATATAAAACATTTTTTTCCGTATTGATTGCTGCGGAGCGAGCGAGCCTGAAGCGAGCGAGCGTAGCAGCAACCTAATATGTGCAGAGAGGGGGTTTTGAACTAAATTTTATTTAGCGCATGGAATTGTGGTCGTGCGCGCTTTCTATGCGCAGAACACAAATTTTAAACTCGCTCGAGTCTTCGAATTTTTATCGAATTTCTAAAGCTTTTTCAAGTCTAATGTTACGCTTACATTCGTTTTGGACTTTGGCCACTGTCAGTTCTATATTTTTATAAAGTTTTGGTTTCTTAGTGTGATAAATCTGTGTATATATAGTCTATATAATGTGGTAAATGCGCCTAGCAGTAAACAGACTTGGTATGAAATCTGATCTTAATTTACCTGCATGTCAATGAGACGCACATGTTTAATATCTTTGCTATTTCACAGTGGCGTAGCCAGACCTTCATTTTTGGGGGGGGGCGAAGCGAACGCCGAAGGCGCGAGACCATCTATGGAGGTCCGGGGGCATGCACCCCCGTGAAAATTTTGAAATTTAGAGTCCCTGAAATGTGATTTCAAGCATTTTGGGGGTGAAATCTTGCAGAATCCCGAAGATTATAAAGTGCGTCGAAGACATAAATTTTCCCCGACATTTCTAAGTTTCTACTCGCTTTTATATATGATACAGAATAAGTCTGAGAAGAATATTCATGTTATCATAATGCATATACATGTAAATCTAAACTAAATCTATTCCTCTTGGAACCATATCTACAACTGTTTTAACGAGATTTTAGAAATCAAGTTCTTCCAGTATTTCGTCGTTTTCCTCAGTCGAGACGTACTTAATCCGTTTCAGCTTCGAGGATGTAACGTGTACCCCCCCCCCCCCATTTCTCTACGGATTTAGCCTTTTTCAGAGAATAGTTTCTTTGCGATTGGGGGGGCGACCGCCCCCCCCTTGCCCCCCCTTGGCTACGCCCCTGCTATTTCAATATATATTATACAATTACTTTATGGTTTCCGTGTTTGGATGGCCTGATCCAAACACGCGGGTATGTTGCGAGAGTTAAGAAAAGCGCGCGAAAGCACGAGCCGAAGGCGAGTGATTTTGCGCCCTTTTCTTAACCCGAGCAACATTCCCAAGTGTTTGGATCAGGCCATCCAAACACGGAAACCATAAAGTAATTGTTTTATAAAATAACAACAACACGATAGTCTTCCGTGTTTGGATGGCCTGATCCAAACATGGGTTTCGACCAATCAAAGCACGCGTTATATACATGCTATTTTATAATTCTTCTTCTCAGTTCCATTCAGATTCACAGCTCACTAGTCGCTGCGAGTAATCACTGTGCTAATGTGCTTGATATAATTTGTGCTGTTTACTGTAGTTCTATATGCTTTTAATGCCCGCAGTAATCCCTACCTTGCAGGTACCCTAGTATATCGTTATATCAACACTCGTGGAAGTTGGGAAAACTCGAAATTGTATGAAAACACTCCGCCCTTCGGGCGTCGTGTTTCCACACAATTTCTCGTTTTCCCAATTCCACTCGTGTTGATATAACTGTATATCAACACGGAAAATGTTTTATATTTGTTAAATGTAAAATATCACATTGAAACTAAGAAAAAATTAGAAAAAATTATCTCATATGAGATATCTATGATATAAACACATTTTTATATATTAATCAAGATCTGCAAATATTCAAAATAACTTTTTAATTATAAGCCACTTGAATTTGCCTTGTTTACCTTGTTTTTCAAGATTGTTCAGTGACCTTGACCCTTAATGCTCTCATCATGATTGATGATTGCCCTGTTGAACGACATTCATCAGGTGTTATTTGCAATATTTCAATATGAAAGAATATATTTTCCAATTTGCTGACATATAATAATCATTATTTAAAATGATGAGAAAAATATTTTGATTATCTAATTAGAATATTTCCTTATATGGGCATTTTTATATGGTTCATCTTATAATACCGAGTGGCCCTAGCCTCCTCCGCAGGCAACTGTATAGTTCTGCAACGTTATTAACCATAAAAGAATGTTCAGGAACGTAGAAAATACAAGGAAATACTAGTTCTGAAATACGATATGATATTAATAAACGCTGGAGCGTAAATTAAACCACAAGCCTCCCTATTTTTACGCTCCAGTGTTTATTAATATCATATCGTATTTCAGAACTAGTATTTCCTCGTATTTTCTACGTTCCTGATAAATCTTTTATGGTTAATAACGTTGCAGAACTACACAGTTGCCTGCGGAGGAGGTTAGGGTGGCCCGAGTATGTCACACTTCCTACGGGCAAACGCGGTTTTCAAATAGAACGTTCGGCCATGCATAGACCATTCTAGAAAAAAAAGAAAAATTATAAGACAATATGAAAGTTATCCACGGACGAAAGCAGCATTCGTTCCAATATTTAAATTTCATTGTGGAAACAGAATGCAAATGTTCAAATAATTCTTTTTTAAAATTATATTGTTTCCTTTTGTCCCGAAGTTGACCTTGGGAATTAACAAGAAACCTGTATTTTCATCATTGTGTCTGTCATTAATAGTATAAACAAGGTTAAGATTTTTCCATATCTGTTCAGATAGTCACAAGCATGTTTCTAAAAAAGTCATATTATAACTTCAAATATTAATAATTAATCGCTACTTTTACCTATCCCGACTTTTCACCATAGTTGCCACAAGTAAAACAATTCTGATGAATGCAATGTTTACACTATGTTTCAAGACTACCTTTTATTAATTAAGGGACTTTTTGCATTTTTTTTTAAATGGCACTTGACGGGAAAGTTGAGCGGTAGTCACAAGCATTTTTCGAAAAAAATCATATTATAACCTCAAATATTAATAAGTAATCGCTAGTTTTACCTATATCACTTTGCATAATAGTTGCCACAGGTAAAACAATTCTAATGAATACAATGTTTATGTTTCAATCAATTCCATGGGTGCCCATCACAACATGAGCTCCACCTTTGAATTTACTATATGAGATTTTCAAGATTTTCAAAAAGGGTTTAAAATAGCAAAAAAAGTTTAAAAAGCTAGATTTTCAAAAAAGTTTTAAAAAGTTAAATTAAGGTTAGGGGTTAGTGGTTAGGAGTTAGGGGGTTAGGGTTAGGTGCTGCAAATTGATCATATTGATAAATTCGGACGTGTTTAAGAATTTACTCATCAAACGAATAATGCAGCGACAACCGCGTTGTCGTGGATAATATATTAATTCATAATAGTCATCCCATCCGATCCGACTACGAGACAGCTTTATCAATCCGATCCAATCCGAAATGAATATTTTTGTTCCGAAATGATCGGATTCGGATCGGATTTGCACACCTCTAGGACATACACACTTTTGTTGTTGTTGTTGTTGTTGTTGTTGTTGTTGTTGTTGTTGTTGTTGTTGTTGTTGTTGTTGTTGTTGTTGTTGTTGTTGTTGTTGTTGTTGTTGTTGTTGTTGTTGTTGTTGTTGTTGTTGTTGTTGTGACTTTATTTTAGCAGAGTAGCCCATTCAGCTGTTAAGCTAGTATCCATAGGGGCCCTGTATATTATTAGTTAAATACATAAATTATGCAATCCTAGTCTAATCCAAATTAATTCCAACATATTTACAGTTCATATATACGATGTTGTTTAATTCTATTTTTAAAACTAGCTAAGGTTAGAGAATTCTAACTTTTTTCTTGTCCATACTGTTGATACTGTACATTGACTTACTTCCGCTGTTTGGTATTGTTATATATCTTATATCAAGTTTTGAGACTTCAATATTTTAATTAAAAACGTTTTAAAATAGAATGGCTACAGAATCGATTTTAAATACAGATATATTGATACGAGATAGCGCCTGCATTCGATTTTTTGGTTCAGAAATCTTCAGAAAACTTATATTTTGTCCCCAAGGGTGGGCATTTGCATCAATGTAAGTCCCCAAGGATGGGGATTTTGTTGCATTATTTGGACCTCATGGTGGGGCATTTGCAACGTTTTTTTTCACCAAAATGACAAATGCTCGACAAACGCCGGAGGATGGGCACCCATGGACTTGATTGAGACATTACACTATGTCTCAAGACTACCTTTTATTTTGGGACTTTTTGCATTTTTTTTTAAATGGCATTTTAAAGGACATTAGGGCGGGCACATCCTGCCCTCCTGTGCCTATGCAACAGAAAAACAGAAAGCAAAACATCTTTCATCGTCAAATCCCACACATCTGTAGAGAACATGTATAACTACAAAATTGTACGACTTTGAGATACCCAACAGCCCGACGAGTACAATGTTACAACTGCCAAACCTATTGATCTAAATTATTCACGTGATATGTCACTTACGTCATCAATGTTGTAGCCTGTCATGGGATTGCTACCTTGGGTGCAGAGAATGGGGCTGCTCACAGGCTGTCAAAGTTGCGGTTGTTCTCTACCAAAACGACATTTATATGGATTGCGCATTTAACCGCCAAACTAATTTAAAGAGGATGAAATGTGTTATTTTCTATTCTATTTCGTGTAAATGAGGGCATATTCAGGGTCGTTCACAGCATTTTCACCAGGGGGATAATAGACAGCTTAAGATCTACGACGTCGACGTCAGGGCTATGCAGAGGACTGGGACTAGGATGTCGTCCTGATGTAGTCCCAGTCCTCTGCTTACCTGACGTCCTAGCTGACGTCGACGTCGTAGATCTTAAACTATCTAATAATACCTATCAATGCTGAAATAAGTACTCAAATTTCGATGTTTCAATCTGGTTCACAAGATTATTACGCCATTTGGCTTAAGAGTTTATAACAACATTATAAAATTAGTAAGTTAAATTTTGTAAAACTGATGGCCCCCCCCGCGCTGCGTATGACCCTTTAATGTTGCTTGCCATGCCCATAGCTTGACATTATACCATTATAGTGACGTGCTGAAGAGCGAGGTGTCTGCTAAAGTTTTTTAACACACGCTACTTTGTGTTTTAAAATCATTATAATAAACGAGATATGAGTGTTACGACATGCATGACTTATTAAACGAGTTCAAGTTTCCTTGACCTTGAAACTCCAGTCAAGATTTTCTTATTAACCTAAAAATAACACCATTGGATATAAAAGTTAACTTTCTTGCTGATATGTCTTTAAACTGGTTTAACCAGGTTAAATTAACCAAACTATGCTGTATATATAGTTAGAATTTCCACCTATATAGCATAAATTAAATCTAACCGATTATCTGGTTAAACCTGCTGTTGTTAAAAATACTTTGTGTGTGCTTGTCACAGGTTGATGTGAACGGAAACTGTACTACTGATTACCAAATTAAAGCCCGTCATGACAGTGGCCGTGTTAAGACGGTTCTCAAGAAAAAAGATCTCAGTTTGTGCAAGGATAGATCTGAAACAAATCTTGGCATCCCTGTGGCACATTATCCAACAGAAAAGGTTTGTAACGCCTAACGTAACTGTATTTCATTTAGACGACCGGCCAAGCTTCTTGTGTCTAGAAAACACTGTCGATGGCATCATAGTCTTTCGAGACATGGTCTGGAAACTCAGTAAACTTCAAAGCGGTTATAATGAGCTGTGTGTTTATGTTGAGCCGTCCTTACACCGTGCACATCCTTTGTTTTAGGTTTATTAATATTTAAATAGCATGGTTGAATGACTGAACTGAAACGTAAAAACGTTGCTATTGGATGATTCGTTCATTATACTGAAATACAATTTGTTCATTGACCGTGCACCGTGCACAAAACTGCATAAACGCGAACAAAAAGATAGAACAAAGACTTTACCGGAGTTTCCAAACCATGTTTTGAAAGACTATGATAGCATTTTTGTTACAAGCATAAATATCATCACATAATGCTTATTTTGAAAGTAAGAGTGATTGTCAACCGTAATTGTTATTTATGAGCTAAAGGTATTTCCTAGAAGCTTTCGATGGATGAGATTTCTCTCAAGTGCTGTGTTTCATGTCAGTATTTTATTTTAAAGCCAGTTTTCCACTTCAATCGTATCGTAACGAAACGTAGCGTATCTCTTTGTTTCTTGAGCACTAGAGTGGAACTAATAACTTCGACACAAAAGAAAATGCTACGCTACGTTATGATACGGTTGAAGTGGAAAACAGGCTTAATTGGCTGACCACCAAATGTACCAGTCAATCCCAACTCATCCCCCCGGGGGAAGTATCCATGCGGAAAATTATATGTAAATTTTACGTTTTATATAATATCATTTAAAATACCTTTGTTCAAAGTCTGGAACAAGAGAAGGTGCTTCCGGTTTTACTGAATTTGTCTCAAAAGCTACAAGACATTTAATGGTTCCTCTATTAAAAACTTTCATGTGTTTTACCACTTTGACGTGGACGCATTCAGTATATTCGAACGTTCAGTACACATTAATTTAATTAAATATAAACAATCATGGGTATCTGGCCAGCCCGGACGGAGGGGTATTTGACCATGTTTTTTGCCCGTGCGGGCGAATTTGACAAAATGTTTCCGAAAAGTCAAATTCCCGGGGGGATGCTGGATCGCAGTTGGAATTGACTGGTACAAATTAACAATCATGTGTATGGTTCGGGTAATCTTCATTCGCAAAATGATATGCTAAACATAATACAAAATGTAACATAATATAAATGACAAACACTGAAACAATTAACTGGAAAGCAAACGAAAACCCAAACCATATAATAATAAGATTAAAGAGATTGGACACACTAGCATCATATAAATAACATATAACTATTACTTCTATGTCTAACATATGTTCAAATGTCATGACACAGCTGGTATACTCAGGTAGTTCATAGTAAACGTTTTGTTATGAACACTTATATATTTCAGCCATTCAGTTTACTCAAATCAAAAAGCTTGTGTAAATTTGTGATGTCTCCTCGACAAAGAATTGGCAAAGTAACTTGTGAAGAAACACATCTGTTCCGTCCATTCTCAGCTGGATATAACTCATCTTCAGGAGCAATGACAACTGTCAGGTACAGCGTACTTGTAGGATTTTAATTAAACTTGTAAATTTGTAAGTTGAAAATCGGCACAAAACAACAATTCGTCACGAAACATTTAGAAAAAAATACCGCATTCTCAATGATTCTCTCTTCTTGATAGACAAAGCCTTGCATTGATTGGACATGTTGTGAAGAACGATGAAAGCCCATCTATGCCAGGTAGGCGTGGTCAATCTGATTCCGAAAATGCCCTTTCGCATTACATCGATCCAGTTACAGCTCGAACGGGCAAACAGAGGCCACTTTTGCATATTTTTAATGTTTTTAATTAAGCCGAACAAATCACCAGCGGGTTATTTTGACTTACGTCGCCTCTGATTCAATATATAACCGGAAAACGTAAGTCAAAATAACCTGCTGTGGCGCTGTATGCTGATTTGTTCGCAAAAACGGCCTCGGTTTGCCCCTTCGAGGTATATTTACAACTGACCGCGTAGCTAGTATTCCAAAGGTCGTAGGTTCGATTCCCACCGTGGCCAGGCATATTTTTCAAGCCTGCCCGGTGTGGATATACACTCAGAGTAACATCACAAGCATATTATTCACCTGAGTACATTACACCAAGACAGCAAATATTAGAGTCTATACAATAGTTCAGTTGTCATAATCACAGATTGTTATTGTCGAGGTTGTTATTGCATTTGTTGTTGTTGTTGCTGCTGTTATTGTCAATGTTGTTGTTGCTGCATGCTGTTGTTGTGTGTCGGTGGTGGTGTTGTTTTTCAGATCTTGGTGAGTTGGTGTTCAGATTGAAATGGTAAAATGAACGTGAATGCTCAATGCTTTCCATAACTGAAACAAGTCTATTAAACAAGAAACTTACTGTGTTCATTTGTTTTAATAGCCACGGAAAAATTGAGTCTGAAATTTGAACACACGAAAGATCCTGAAACGACGAGGAAAAACAACAAAGAGGTAGCCAGCATACTTGATAAGCTTGGAGCGGAAGAGGGAGCTAAACCTGACACTGCAAGACTCTTTACCAAACTCATTTTCGCCGTCCGACGACTGAACATGAAGGCATTGAGATATGTTTGGATACAACATTACGAGTGCTTGCAAAGGGGAAAATGCACCAAGGAAGAGAGTGAGAGATACCAGTGAGTTAAAAATAATTAATATACTCTTGTTAATATCCTTTCTGAAGTCTCAAAGTTAGTTATTATAATATCTGTTGCAGCGTATTTCTCATTGCTTATTTCACAAATATAGTTATGAAAATAACAATGCCAACTGTCGTTAAGCGCAAAAGCCTAAAATCATGGGCGTACCGGAAGGAAAAAAATAGGGGGGCGGAAAGAAAATTGCCCGACTTTTCTGGATTCTGCCCGCCAAAAAAATTTCGGTCAGTGTACCATTTTAGGGGTCAAAAAATTTTCCGGACAACCAATATTTTTCGGAACACAACACAAATTTTCGAAAAATCACAAAATTTGACAAAAAATTGACTTAATTTTAGGCAAAATTGACAGAATTTGTCCCATTTTTTTTTTATTGCAAACCAAAATTGCCCGACTGTTGATCGAATATTGCCCGACTGCCCAAAAAACTGGGGGGCTACCGCCCCCCCCCCGCCTCCCCGCCCGGTACGCCTATGCCTAAAATCTCTCCTTGGCAATGTAAAATAGTCTAAAGGATCTTTTAAACGATGTACAATTACGTGAATAAATACGTCTTTTTATAAAAAAAATATATAAAATATCCCGCAACAGTTTTGTTCCATGATAAAAATGAATGTAATCAAACTTCATTAGGAAATACATTGTCGACGCTTTGTCTCAATGTGGTACCTTGGATTGCGCAGAGTTTATGATCTCCACTATCACCGATAAAAAAGTTGGTACATCTCAGTCAGTTCAATTCCTTACGGGAATTGCATTGGTTGGTAAACCGAGTGAGGATATGGTTGGAAACGTTCTGTTTTTCTGTCAAGAAACACCATCTAGAACAGCTTTCCTCACGTTGGGTACCTTGATGCACAAGTATTGCAGTCAACATTCGTGTGATAATTTGGTAGGTTGTAGGCTTTTACTTCCTCGATTAGTCTCGAATTTATTATTTATTTGGCAAGAGTTTACTGTACGTTTTTTACATCTGATTTGTTGACCCAATTTTTCGTCCAGTGATGATGCAGGGTGAAGAAGTCATCTGACCGTATTGCTCACTGGAGTTGTTTAGCAAAACCTGAAATTGGTCCAAAGTGGTTTGGGTGGTTTCAAATTGATCCATAATGTAAACACGTAACTTACTGAATAAGGTCTGATCAGTCACCTCAAACTGTACTTTTTGGAGAATTTTAAATTAAATTTTGTGCTATAACTCATCGATAAAAGAAACGCGCCACCCGAATATTCCAAACACACTTGCATGTAAGATACATTATACCTACGGCTCAATTGTTCTATTGTTACTGTGTACGCATTGTCTGCATTAATTTAATGTTACTTGTGTAAAATATTTAAATTAATATACTTGCATTTCATGGACCAATTAATTTCTAACTTAAAATTTAGAATTCTCGAAGTTTAATATATCAAGCAGACAACTTCCTTCAAGGAAAACTGCGACAAAACTGTCAGGCCGAAACTCCCGAAGAACGTGAACAAATAACCTTGGCTTTGAAAGCAATCGGTAATGCTGGGCGACCTTACACATCAGTAGACAACATTCTGAAATGCGCTGTTCAACCCGGACCTTCTTTCATCAATATTGATGCTATACAAGCTTTGCGACGTATGCCATGTGGCGATGAAATGACACAAGGTTTGCTGAACATCTTTGATGATCTGACCGTGGATACAGAGATTCGCATTGAGACTTTCCTCGCCTTGATGCGATGTCCCAGTCAGAACGTCATCCAGAAAATTGCTGATATTCTTGATACTGAGAAGAACAACCAAGTTGGCTCATTTGTTTGGTCTCATTTGAATAACGCTCTTGAATCAACTGAACCAGTATATGGAATTCCGTGAGTATATTATAGTACATTGTAATTTCCTCCCTATATTTTATAACGATATAAATGAATATCAACTTGGTGGATGACGTAGCAAAGCGATTATTTGTTACATTACATACATTGTTCAAGTTAAACCTAGCCAAGTTTCTCGTTCTGGTCATACATCAAAGTACTATCAGTGTTTAGTATAATTTCAGAATTGAAAAATGGCCTTTGAGCATTCTGATTTGGTCCCTCAGCAGTCAGCAGTAACTCTGATACAATAGTTACTGCTCAGATTTCTCTGAGCAGTAACTATTGCTTTTCCCAAAAATAGCTAAAAATCAATCAGACAGAAGTAAATTATTTAATGCAAATTATATTCATGAAATAAACACGTGTATTAGTTATATTTATAAATAAAACTTTTTCATTACTGAAATTATTTTACTTTAAAGCTATCAGTGTTACGGTAAGTGCTTTGAAATGGTTGAAAGGTTCTTAAATCCAAAAATATTCTCGATGCATAAACCTGGCTCCTCAGTGGTTGGGCCCTGTAGTATGGTGAAACGCATTATTACGCCGCCTATAATAATTTCAAACACCTACTCGGTTCGAAATTCTATTGGACACCCTGCATTTTAACTGTACCAGTATATTAAGATATTCAGTTTTCAGTTTGTAAAAATAAATAGTTGCCAATCTTGAATTTGTTTCTGTTGCCTAATTCCAGCAATGCATTTGTTTCCAGATTACGTGACGCAATATCTCAAGCACTCCAACGAAGAAAACTTCGAGCGTTCAACCTTGATCACTTGCGATTTTCTCATTCTTATGAAGCATCCTATTACAACAGTAAGTTTTCAATCGAATATCTGTATTTACTATTTTCTTTTACAATCGATTTCGATTGAAATACAGTTTATTACGTGATTTGAAAAAATCTGTACTATACTGTAGTGTACATTGTATAGATTGTACTGTTTCTTCTGTTCTCTTCCGTTCCTACCTGTACCGCTCTATTTTTTTCTGGACATCATGTACCTTCCAATTTTATTCTCTTCCTTTTCTATTCTATCCAATTCTATTTCGTTTTTTAGCTCACTTATACTTTTTATCTGCAGTGAACAATGACTTATACTTTTTATCTGCAGTGAACACAATAACTTTATTTTCCAGAGAAACATGAAGTCGGTGGCTCAAGCCAAGCCCAAGTTGTCTTCCACCCAGACAGTTACTTCCCACGAAGTGCCAAATTCAACTTGACAGTTGACATGTTGGGAGCATCCGTCAATCTACTTGAAACAGCAGCGAGATTTGAAGGTTTCGAAACTTTGATTGAACAGATGTTTGGTCCTGAAGGCTATTTCCCGGATGAACGTTTGATGCAATTGTTAAAGATTAAACCAACTGAGGCCATGGCTCGAGGGAGACGTAGTGCTACTGAAGACGAAATGAATGAAATTAAGACTAATCTTGAAGAGTTGCAAGACAAGGTACGGAATATATTACGATTATAAAATCACTAAGATCATGTAATATAATACACGAGAAAATTATGATCGCACTAATGTGTAGACTTGCTATATAGTATCGATCCACTATAGTGTACATTACATGACGTAGCACGAAGAGGCGGAGCGAAAAAGAGAGACTTGTCAACTTCGGAAAATCTCGGTTCAAAACTGAACCGAAAATGCAAGACTTACTATTGTGCAAGACTTGCTATGAACACATGTTATCATAATGCTGCCCGAACAGTACACCTGGATACATGCATGTGTATAGCTATGGTGTGTTTTGAACAAAATTATGCACAAAACCCTCTGCATTAAAGTGAATATAGCCGGAACATCCTTCATCTTGATCACAGTTATAATCATAGTTTTGATAGAGAACTTGGCCATAATAGCTAAGGTTAGCATTACGTATATAGCAGCAACTTGATCAACTACCTTTGACAGCAAAGTAAGCGTTTTCTTTGTCTTCTTACTATCTTCTTATTTTGTTTTAGTTGAAAATTGAAAGGAAAAACCCGACTGGCGCTCTCTCTTTGAAAGTATTCGGTCACGAGTTACAGTTCTTGAGTTTTGAGGATATTGATTGGCTGCAGGGAGAGGCTGATTCCATCAACGTCATCGACACCTTGATCAACATCGCTCGTGGTGGTAAAGTTACATACACAAAGAGCTTTATGTTACTTGAAGCTGATCATGAGATTCCCACTGGGCTCGGAGTTCCTCTGAAGTTGGCTGTAAATGGTTCAGGTGTTAGTTCTGTAACGCTGAAAGGAAAGTTTGATATCCGTGATATGTTTTGGGGAAAGAAGAAATTTGATGTGCGAGGATATGTCACTCCTAGGTAAGACCGTCATGTAGTTTATAGATGTTTAACCCTTCGTACTTTATAAATGATAATCTTGATAAATGATATCAGTGATTAAAAATTAGCATGCCATGGTTATCCAGTTCGATGAACTTCTACGAGTTTTACGATCGAAATGTACCTGATGTTGAAAATAGTATTAGATTTTCTAATATCCAGACGTTACGATTGCCGGCGATTGAAGTCTAGGACCGCTTTTGGATGATCAGGTCATTTTCCAGAGAACCAATGTACTCATTCATTTAACACTTCGAAAAAATATACAGCTACAAATTCAATAATTTATTATTTAGTTAAAGAAATATATATTATGTTAAAGAAATATTTGTTATTTCTTTCCAGTGCAACCATTGATATTTCTGGCAAAATGACTGTGGACGCCATTCATGCATCATCAGGTATTCACGTGAACGCATCACTCTACACATCTACTGAGATCAACGGCAATGCGACTTACAAGGAAGGCGAAGGAATCAAACTGAGCGTTGAACCACCAACAAAGCCAATTTACATCGTTAATGTTAAGTAAGTCAGTGCTTTTCTATACATTAGTAATAGGCATGTGTGGTACTGTATAAGCCAAGTTGTCATTTGGTAGAAACTGTGGTGACCAAGTCATGCTCGAGGATGTATGATTTCTTGTGTTGTGCGTGTAAATTGTTTTGATTCTCCAGATATTTCTCTGCCACCTTAATATGGCCACGATCGTGACCCAACGATCACAGCCTAGCGCGATCTTTAGTCAATGCGCTACCCTACTTGCTGGAAGTAAGCAATCTTCTACATTCAACTATTCGTTTTATCTATTTTACTGTATAGTTTCTCCAATCTATTTATCTACTTTTGAACTATGACATCAAACCAGTCCTAATTTATTCCATTGCAGGTCAAACTTGGCGACATTCCTGAACGAAAAACGAGAAAAGATCTCGGGTTCTCCAAGAAGATTTGAGGTAGGACTGATTGCAATATTTCAGCCATTCAATCTTCAAAATAATTATTATAATAAGACAGATAAGACATTAATACAAGAGACACAAGAACCAGAGTGTTATACATCGTTTCCCCAATTACGTTTAGCTAGCAATTTAACTGCCAAAAATAACATAATTATCATGAAGAAAATTAAAAATGATTTCCCAATTTCATTAAATTGCCAATCTTTTTTCTTCTGACTGAGAACAGCGATGAGTTGACCAAATTTTCCCGTTTACATTATCCAGTTTTTTATTACTCGCTGGGGCTCTGTGCGCCAGACGAGTATAGGTTTCGGCACGCATGGTGGATGTCAGATTTCCGTCGATAGCCACAAAATAGAATATTAATGAGCTGCCTAATTTTCCCCCAATTATCCATAAGGCTCCTGCCGATTTTACCCAATTATCCATAAATAGCCCTCCATTTTGAGGAAAATTCGGGAAAATTGAACAATTTTACAAGGAATTTCGCATGGAAACAGCAACCTTCGCAAATCGCAAGTTTATAAAAGTTTATACGTTTGACTGTGCTGCTTTATATTTTGAGAAGAAAGCGACACCGTTCGATTCAGTGTAAGAAATTGTACTCACGGATGTCTAATGTATTACTAAACAGCAGTATTCTAGCGATTTATGGCCTTTGAAAATCAAGCGAAATTGGTCAAATTGTATGTTGACAAATCGCTCGCTGTACGTATTGTTATAAACAAATCACTCGCACTACCTTTGTCCTTGTATTTGTAATGCCTCATGGCGCAATAACGATAAAAATATCACCGTTCGATTCAGGGTAAGAAATTGTACTAAACAATAGTATTCTAGCGATATATGGTCTTTGTCTTTGAAAGACAAGCGAAATTGTATTGTTAACAAATCGCTCATACGGATGTCAAATGTATTACTAAACAACAGCATTTTAATTAGCGATTTATGGCTTTGTCTTTGAAAGCCAAGCGAAATTGTATTGTTGATATCATTGATTTTCTCTTTTTCGGCCGTACAGTATACCAGTGGATTCGTCTTACTTCTCTCCTCATTTTGATAGTATTTTGAGCCAAAAAGCCCCCAAATATTTTATTTTGAACGTTTTAAAGCGCAGTTTAATCCTAGCGTACGGACCAACTGACGGCTGACAGTCTTGAAGAATGTAGCGTACTAAATATAACTTTACTTGTAGGGTTAAGCCTTTTGCGCTCGTATTCGACTTTTCCGCTTAGTATTAATGTGCGTATTTGTATGACTTGTATAGCCCCAGCGAGTTAACGCTCTGCAGAGCGTCTTGTTCATCTTTGAACTCGTTTAACTAGAAATTTGGTTTGAGTTAACCCAGTAGTGGGGACGTACCCTGAGCAAGGATGACAAAATGGCGAAGTTGAACTATTTAAGCAAATTTCACATCTTCTAATTGTACAGCCCCCATGCCAGTTGCCATTTTGAATGGACAGAACCAGGGAGTCCTCTTCAGTTTAAACTGGGGCCCCTCTACGCCACCAGGAAATCTTGCTTTTATTAACCAAGCAATACTACAGCAGGTTATTCATAATATTTCGTTTTCTTTCTTTCTTTTCCAGCACAAGAACTGTGCAAACTTCACAAGATTCCTCGGCGTCAGTCTTTGCGGGCATGTTTCTGTCCCGATGGCATATCGCGACTACAATGCACCATATTTCCCTCTGAGCGGAGATTCTTCATTCGGAATGGTCTTCCATACAACCAAGCCGGAACTTGCAAGGTTTGAAGTGGAAACACGCACGTTGACAAGTAAAGACGAGAACCGTCATGACTGGATTTTCAATGTTCATGTTCCAGGTCTAACCTTCGGTAGGAAAGTTGTTGGAAACTCGACATTTCAATTCCTGGACGATGGTCAATATCTGAGCGTATCGTGTGGTATTCATAACTACAAGTTTGGTAAATTCGAGGCTAAATACAACAACGTAACCAACAGACTGCACACCAAGTTCTCAACACCAAGAATGGCTTACCTGCGACCAATAACGATTGAAACTGAGGTGAGTACAGTCAATAATTATAGTCAATTATGCTATGGTCTGGTTATTGATATTTGAAAAAACACGGAAGTGATTCAGTTAATTAATATGGCAATGTTTTCACACACAGGAACAACTGCATGCTGTATAGCAATCGAAATTTTGGTCGACCGACTGATTAAAAGCTATAGGCTGTGACTGTCACCTATCATCTTTTCTAAATGAATTCATTTTTGAATATAAATGTCTGATTTATCGACAAAGGGTCGGAGTTGATTAAAACACTTTTAGTTCTAATTAATGTGAACTTTTTATGTATCCTTCATTCCAGTTGTTCAACACCAGAAACAATGATACAAATACTCAAGACGTTGGAATCGCCATTAATGCTTCATACAATAACTTCACCATCACAGATGTTCTCTCATTCCATAAACACAAAGATCAATATGGAGTAAAGAGCAAGTTCACGTACTGGCCAAAGAAACACATCACCACTGAAGCACAGTTTTCTATGGAGAAGAGAAGCGTGTATATAAAAATGGATGATTCTAGCAGTACGAACAGGTTTTTCTTTGCGGGCAAATTTGGCAAGAGCACGAACAGATTTTATGTTAAAATCGGAAATGATCTTTTGAAGAAAGAAATAAAAATGAACGGAGAATTCAGCATGAAGAATAAGAAAGTTCTGGTTGATCTAATAACAAAACCTTCCTGGAATGTTCTGAAGTTCGAAGCTTACCCAAGATGGAACGCTTTGGAAAATGCATTCTACATGCGACTGTCACATCTGAACTCGTCATCATATGTGACCGGTTACCTTGGTTCTTCGTCTCTGAAGAGAGAATCAACACTCAAGTTCAATGGCATCTTCATGAAGAAACCATTCTTACTTCGTGCAAGTCATTACGTTCTTAGCAGTGGAAGAAAAGTTGAATGGACTGCTCAAGGGTTTGGTAACAGCGCTAACGCATCTGTTGAGTACTCAGCGAAGAGATGGTCAAAGAATAATGTTGAAATTACTGCCGCGTTCAACGACAAGGCCATAAAAACCGGAGTATTTTTGAAAGAGAAAGGTATCGGCGCCTATCTGAATGATAAAACAATGGAATTTGAGGCGGATTACAGGAATGAAAACAAGAGCAAAGGATTGACGATTTCAGTACAAATGTATGATCAACTACAAAACAAGAAGAAACTGACGGTTAATTGTGAATACACCAAATATGATGAAGAAACAACTTTGGCATTCAGTATTGATGCACCAGGTTATACCAACCGTATAGCATGGTCGTATTACCAGCACAGAACTGAAAGTGGATTGAAAATGGACGCCACTTATTTGAACAGCTTGTTGATGAAGCGAGTATTGTTAAAAACGGGTATTTTCAGACATGATAACGAAAAGGGATTGCGAGTTTTTGGTGATGTTTTGGACAAGGAATTCGAGGCGAAATGGAGTATTTTATCAGGAGACAGGTCCGGTATGAAATTTGTCGCTCGGTATATGAAGAAAGAACTAACGTTACAATCAACATGGATGGCTAACAATCTCTTAAAGGAATGGAGAATTGATACAACGTATGATAACCAGAAGACTTCTTTGGTATCCACCTATCGACCAGAGGACAAATACTTGTGCTCAGAGATCGTTGGTTTGTCAGCTGACCGATTGGAAGCTTGTCTGCAGCTCATTAATAATGACGGAGAGAAATCCTTGCGTCTTGTAGGTGAAGGAGTTGGAAAAACAGCTGAAATGAAAGCAGGCTGGATCCACAACGCTGAATCCAAGGGAGCCATACTTCAGATGAGCTACAATCGAGTTCAAGTTTCTGATTTCTTTATCGGACTTGTAACTCCTCCGTCATACACTGGATTACGTCTGAGAGGCACTGTAAAGGGGAAGAATGTGGAAGCTTTACTCAAGTACAAGAACACGCCATTGAAACGTTCACTTAATCTCGATCTTATTGTCCAAGGAAAACTCGTCACGTTTGAAAGTATGCTGGTCCGTGAGCCTGCTTTGCAAGGTGTCCAGGTCAACATGATTTATGAAAGCAAAAAGATGGGTTCCTTGTTTGCTCTTCTTCATAAGAAATCATCTGCCAAAGTATTCAAGATTGGTGGTAAAGCAATGCATTATGGTGCTGAGTACAAACTTTCCTTGTCAAAATCCAAACTAGAGAAAAAGGTCTCGTCTATGGTTGTTTTCATGGCACCCTCAACGCACTATAAATACGGATACTCCGTTTCTCACAGCAATCTTGGAACAAGCGGTCAACCTAACCATGTCATAACTACAAGATTACACTACGCTGAAGACAAAGTTCTGACTTCTATCTACCAGTTTGTCAACTCGGAGCAAAACTTTAATCTCTTATCTAAAATGGAGTTAGCTCCTGGACAGTTCCTTACCAACAAAATTGCATATCACAAACAAAATCGCAAGTTGTCTATCAATTATGAACTGTTGCCTGGTATTGGTATAACATACCTTGCTGCTTTTGTGAACGATGATCAATTCATGGGCATACAATCTAACCTAACTATTATGGACTACCCAATGGACAGCTCTGCTATGCTGAACAAACAAAGTGGACTTCTGACGTGCAGGCTCACTTACTGCCCTGTTAAACCACCTGTTGAATTCACCAGTCACCTTCGACGAGATAACGGAATAGACTTTGGTTTTACTCTCTCTGCACTTGATCGAGTTTGGAACAATAAGATCTTGATGGATTACTCGTTGAAACAACTTCAAGTGAATTTCGATGTTCTACCTAATATTCCGATTCAAATATTTGCTAAGATGTTTGAAAACAAGCAGTTTGTGTTGAATATGACAACATGTTCAGCATTTTCAGTTGAGTTAGCTGGTACGGCGTTGACCAATGAAGAATACCATCTTACCTTAAAGCACAAGTTCTTGGAAACCATATTTGAAGACTTCAAGCTATCAATAAGCTCACTCCAACATTTGAACAAATTACGCTTACGATGGGAATCTAAAGCCGGAAGAGAATTGTGGAAAGATTTGAATGCCACTATGCAGAAACTCATAGACGGAAGCCTTGCAAGTCTGGCAACCTTAGGCGAATCGGCTGGAAAAATTGCAAATGATACCGTGAACTACTTACGAAATGATGGACGGGAGAACCTCCTTGCCGCGGTGAACAGAAGCAAGGAAAAAATTATTTTCCTTAAAGAACTGCTACGTAATATTGAGGTATACAATGCCATCGAAAACTACTCTACCCATGCTGCTGAATTACTGAAAAAGTTAAAGATAGATCTCTTGGAGCTTGTAGACGACATGAAAATGTATGGTACTCCATTAATTGATACATATAAGTACATCGAGCAGACGGTTAAAGAAATTTCACCCGAACTTTCTCCATTTACTGAGTTATTTGTAGGGGATCTTAAGAAGTGGGCGTCAAGGACAGTCACTCGCTACTTGGCCGTATCTATCTGTGGAACAACCATTGAAGAAATCGTAGACATGATCACGGACAAAACTCAGTATTATTACGTAATGGTCAAGGACAATATCCAGAAACAAGTTGAGCTGTGTATGATGAGGTGCCATAAGATGAAGTCAGTTTTGAAGGAAATGGAAAACCTTGCAAAGAAAGCAAAAACAAACATTGAAGATTTTACCTGTAACTATAACCTGGAATGCACTAAACGAAATGTTGAAGTAGAACTAAAGAAATTGGTTGACCATGTTTCCCAATATGAGTTTAAACGTGTCCCTGAACGCTTGAATAAAATTGTGGAACAACTGACGCTGAAATACAAAGAAATGGAAAACTATGTCTTGCTTACAATCAAGGAAAAGCACTTACAAGAAAGAGCAATGAGAGTTCTACAACCAATAATTAATTTCCTAAAGGATGTCACTCGCACCGTGAAAATGAAAGTCCTTCCTCTCCGAGAGAAAGTTGAAGACATCGTAAAGAGATCAGACATGATGGTGTACTACAACAAAATCAAGGAACAATACAAAGAATTTACGAAAGCTGTGGAAAGGGCGCAGGTATATACGACAAAGAATGTTGAAGTTGCAAGGACAAATCTGTTGAACAAAATTAACAAAACCAAGGAATCTTTAAAAACAGTAAGAGCGAAAGCTTTAGTCATGTACCAGAAATTAGTAAAACTTATTCATGAACTGAAGGAAATGTCCTGGGAAGAGTTGCAAGTGTATACTAAAAATGAGATTGAAATTAACTTCGAAAAAGTGAAAGAAAAACTGGTTGTTCTTAGAAGAACGGTCATGGAGAAGGTCGAGTCTTGCTTAGAGTCTTGCTTGGAGCGTCATGCTGATAAAATTGATTTGATGAAGAAGCTTGGTGAAACCATCCGTACCACTTATGAAGACATAATTAACGGACGTGTAAGTGTTCAGGATGCTCAGGAGAAGCTTGAACTGCTTTTGAAAAAGTTGATAGACTATCTTAAAGAACAGAAATTGCGGGCTACGGATAAAATTAAAGCTCTTAAACTTGACGAAGCTGCAAAGAAGACGTACAAGTTTGCTGTTGAACTTTATCGAAAAACACGAGAAGATCTGAAAGAGAAAGTAACAACTCTATATCCTAAAGTAATTGAAGAATTGAAAAATCTACTTCTTAAGATAAAAAAAGTTGCGGTTAAGTATGCGGAGCAGGCAAAAGTAAAAGTTGTGGAGGTATGTGATAAGCAAATAGTTTATCTGAAGGAAGCTATGGATAAACTGCTGGATACACGAGAAATTCTAATCAAGAAGGTATATGAATTATTAGAGAAGTACAAGGACTATGGTATTGATCTTGTCGAGAGTCTGGAGATAGGAATCATGAAACTGAGGGAGAGGTACGAAAGAGAACTAAAGGAAGCGATTATTGAATACAAGGCAAAACTGATAACTACACTCGAGAAAGCAAAAAGGGAAATCCACAACGCTCTTAAATTATACCGAGATATGCCAATCGAGGACATTTATCTAAAACTACGAGTGAAGGCGAGTGAAACATTTGAAAAACTTCTTGGATTCACTATCGGCGAAACGCTGATCACCTATAATAATGCAAAGGAGAAGTTGAAGGAAATTAAAGTATTTTATCAAAGAAACAAGAAGATTGTCGAAGCCAAATGGAGGGAGATTAGAGATGACATCGAAGAACTCGATCAGAGGTATAGAGCTTTGGTAGTAGAGAATTATAAGAAAGCATCGATGTATTACCGCAAAAATATCCAACCTATCACCGTTGCATACTTTTCGGCATTGAAAGATTTCGGTCGCGATGCCATGTTTGTTTCGTCTGTCAAATTCGAGCAATTAAAACTTTGGTACGACCACGTGAAATACATCAAGTTTAAGGAGTTCTATGACAACGTGAGAAATCATTTGGCAAAATATAACTTCAACCTAAAGGAATTTTGCGAAAAGAGAATCAAAGTTTTGGTGGAGGAGATTAAGAAGGTTGAAGCAAAAATTCAAGATTTTATTAGCGACGTGAGAAAAGAATCGAAGAACGTGATTCAACGTATTGAACAAATCAATAAAGATGTAAAACAAGATACTATTGAAACCTTTGGGCCTTATGAGAGAATAGTAAGAAATGTTCTAATTCAACACAAGACCAAGGCTTTGAAGAAACTTGCTCCACTTAACAAGAAATACGAAACGATGACTACTTTGCTGGCAGAGTACAAGAACACAACTGAGCGCTACGTGAAACGTCGTCTTCAGAAGATCAAGGATTTGGATCGAGATGAAATCATGGATATGCTTATTACGTCAGTAAAAAGATGTCCGTTTTTGATGCGAGCAATGGATTTGTCATTGAAAAAATGTCCATTCTTGATGCAAGTAAAGGAATCCTATGAGTTTATTCGCAAGGGCTACTTGTTCCCACGAATTGTCGAATCTCTGAATAGATGCCCATTCCTCTACCAAGTTCGTACTCATAAATTATGGTCTGTACTCAAACAGGAAATCGTGGACCACGAATTTGTCATCGGAGCCCAAGTATTAGGAAAATCATCTGTTAAAAAGCTTGAAGAACTATCTACCGATTACTACTCGCGTTCTCTTCCCAAAATCCGCGAACTGAGGGACAAAACGTATGCGGGATTGGAGCAACTCAAGAATGATATGCTGGTGAGAAATGAAAAGATCAAGAAAACTATCGTAGAAAAGCGTGAAGAAATCAACTTAAAGCTTCGCGACACTCATGAAAAACTTCGATCTGAGGGTGAACGGCTAGTAGAAGACGCTCGTGATCTGTACGAATTAGGAAACAAAAATTTACAAGAAACCTTGGAACGTGTCGGTAACGTGAGTATCTATGATATTGAGACAAGAATCCGACAGAACCTGAGACGTCTTCTCGTCCCAGTGAAAACCGCGTACACAGAGTTGTCTAAATTTGTAGTTGCTGAACTATTGATTCTTGATAAACACCATCGTGAACTACAAGAACGAGTAAATGTTTTACGTACATCTTTGATAAGTCTAACCAATGACATTAAAAACAAGTATGAAAGTGTCTCAACTAAAGCCAAAGAATGGGGAATGCGAGCATGGACAATCAGAAAATCTGAGAGTGGTAAACTTGGAAAGCTGTCGGAAAAGATTCAGGAACATTTGAAAAAGTACACCAACAAGAGTATGGTTCTGGGTCAAAGACTCATTGACGAGTATGTTCCATATAGAGATTTACTAAAAATGACGCCTAATCAACTGTTTGATCGATTACAAAAAGTAGACCTGAAAGCTGAAGAAACTTGCAAAATGGTTAAGGAAATCACTGAACGTTTCATTGCCTTTTCCTTCCGCATGTTCAAGGAAGTGAAAAATAGCGTGGATCCTGAAAAGGTACAAGAAATAAAAGAAAAAGTACGAAAGTTAGTCAACAACACCCGTGATCAGATGCATTTCCTAGCTACCGAGATCTTGGAGACCACAGTGTTTGTGACGAAGTTCTATGGATCTGCAGACACCGTTTACAGCACACACCCTGAGATGGCACGGTTTGCGGACTACCAACTAAAAAGATTCATCAACTGTTCACGAATCTGTAAGGCGAAAGCGATGGAGTTCTATTACGAGGCCAGAGACATCGTAGAGAGATTATTCGCAGAAGCAAATTATACATACCATAACAAGTTGCCACAACTCGTGAAATACATTAAAACCGAAATCAAAGACCTGGACACTGCAAACCTTAAGAAATTGAAAGAAATGGCTAACGAATATCTGAACATCAGCAAGGAATACGTGGAGATCAAATACGTTGACACTTTGGTGACATTAGAACAAATAAAGGTAACAATTCAGGAGTACTTGATGTCTAAACGATCTGAACTCACCCTGAAACTGAACGAAACCAAAGAAAAACTAGAGAAATGGTTGAAGAGCAAAGTACAGAAGAAGGTCGATGAAGTGTACAAGAAACTTTTGGTGGTGTTTGAAGACGCCAAAGAGTTGGTTCAAAATAGATATGACGAGATTCTTGTCTATTTACGAAAGTTGGACAAGCAATACAGAACCTACATGACGAAGTGTGGTGGTATTATTTCTCATATTCCTGTTTTGGCAAAGAACGCCATCGGTAGATTGCCACTGATTCTTGATATGATGGAACGAGATTTAAAAACCTTGATGAATGACGGTGTCGACAAACTGCGTGAAGGAAAGTTGTACATTCGAGATGAAGTCTTCCCGAAAGTTAACCAGACCTACATGGAAAGTGTAAATACCCTGAACAAGCACTTTGCCCAGCTGAAGAAAACGACCAATGATGTGGTGAATTCAATAATGGAAGACATCAAAGAAGAATTACCTGTCATTAAGGAGAAAATTTTAAACATCATCGACATCATTCGAAAAACCGAAATCGCTTTAGTTTCAGGTGAACTTGAATTGAAACTTCCACGTTTACATGAACTGCGTTCGATGTTTTCTGATTTAAATACGTTGATGACGAAGAAATATGGAGTAATCTACACTAAGATGGAAAGACTGTATCAAGACAGCAAGCATAATGGCGAGGACATTTTAGAACGTGTGATGAAAGATACCAAGACAACGTTAAAATATATTCGCGAAGATGTTCCCAAATTCTGTGAGTCAAAGATCACTGAACTTCGTGAGTTGGTGCAACCCAAATTAACATCCTTATTAAGATCTGCTAAAATGGCTTTCCAAGAATTGCAGAGAATGCGACAGGAAGTCAAAGAATTTTGTGAAGAAAAGAAATTGATTTTCTACAAGAAGTGTATTGAAGGACGACAAATGGTTCGTGACTATATGAAAACGCTGTTGGAGACAGGTGAAGATATTTTGGAAGACGTAAAGAAACAAATTTCAGGATTGAAATTTGAAACCAAGGTAAAAATCGAACAGCTTCAAAACAAATCCATGCAAATGAACAACGATCTAACGGAAGCCGTAAGTGAAAGCCGAAAAGTATTGGAAGAGAAAATCGAAGCCTTTAATTCAATCGACGTTAAAAAGTTTATTAGCAAGTACATCGATGTAGAAGACCTGAGGAATAAAACCATCGAGATTAAAGAAGATATCCTTAACATGAGTTTGGTCCATGATCTTGTGAAGATGGGAGAATCGTGCTACATGGAAGGTCGAAGATTGGTAGATCTTGCGAAAGAGAGCAGTGAGTTTGCGTTGTACGTGATCAAACGTGTTGTGAAATACAGTGATGTCTGGGAGATTGTCGAAGAACTGACAAATCCATTCCACTGGATTCCTCCTTCAAACAGTAAGTACTGTTTTATTGTATGTTTACTAACCTTAACTCATACAACCTTGTACAACCGTATATGTATATATTCTTAACTCATGTATACTCAACTTTTGCATCTCACGTATAATTACCTTTTTGTTATTTAACAAACTCCTTCGCCAAATATTTTCAAATCATCGCAACTGCTCTCGGTTAGGTATAAAATTTCCATCATTTTAGAATGTTTTCCCCCGAAATTCCATGAATAAAAAATAACTTGAGGCCCAAACCAAATTCAGGCAACATGTTTTCGTTGGAATTGCTACAAACATTCAACCTATCTCAATCAGTCATATATATCATTGTGTTTCTTTTACCAGGTATTGCAATGATATTTGGAAAACCTCATGTGTACACTTTTGATGGCCAATCATACAAGTTTGTCGGCTACAAGAAGCCTTCATGCACCTACGTCTTAGCTCACGACTTCAGAGATAATAATTTCACTCTTATGAGCCAAGAAACAGCCTTAATTGTCAACACTAAGTCTGGATTCATCAAGATACATGCAAGTGGAAAGGTTGAAGCAACAGTGAGCAAAGATGCTGACGGAAAGGAAGTGAAGACCACCCATAATGAGTTGCCTGTTGAAATGATGCAAATGACAGTCAGAAGAGAAGGTTCATCCATTAAGATCAAACATGATACAGGTCTTGGCATCGTCTGTGATCTTAGACATTTCTTGTGCACATTCAACATCAACAAATTCTATCATGGAAAACTAGCAGGTAAGAAATTGATTAAGTTACAAATTGGTAAACAAATGCAATAACCTTGCCACATGCTGGTGGTTTTAATTGGCGCTGGAAGTCAAAAATTAAATGGGGCGCGGGAAGTTCTTTCCTTACTTGCCCAGTACTGCTATCTCCTCCGCAGGGGGCTTTAGCACGCTGCGTGTTTATCGCCCAGCGACTCCATGCACATAAGATGTAATGAAATGCGCCATGACAAGCGTTATCAAAAAAGCCTCTGCGGAGGAGTGAACCAGTATTCCCCATCCCTTTTCAATCCCGTATTTCTTCGGCATTGTCAACACGCAGTATATACGAAATTATAATCATTTAGCCTTTCTCACGACCGATTTTCTCGCCATTTTGGGGGTACTACCACGTTTACCGCACCACGAAATGCAACTTTTTAGTACTGTAGTTGTTTGTATAATGGTAAATTTACAGTTACAACTTTTAAAAGTTGCTTTTCACTTTGGTTGAATTGTCCAGAATCATTCACGAGGGCAGACAGTACCCCCAAAATGGCGGATTTTAGTCTTCGTGAGAAAGGCTAATTAACTGCACGTTAGAGGAACCAATCCCAATTCGCAGAGGTGAACGGTGCATGCAGCAACCACTGTACTACCTAAACACCATTTAACAATAATGTACTTAGTTATATACATCTGGTACTAGGAAAACAACATACAAATTTAATGTATTTATCATTTAGGATTACTTGGTACGAACAACAATGAACAGTATGACGAATTCTTGAAACCAGATAAAACTATTGCCAAGTCAATGGTGGAGTTTGCTAATGCCTGGGAAGTGAGTGGTGACCCAGAATGCAAAGTGACCGGTACTGAACGTAAGGTAAGAACCCGTTTTGAGCGACACACTCTGTATTTCATGCACTTCGTATTCACGTTTGCAAATCTGCTACCATTAGCTTAAAATGGTTATCAAATTTAATATATATGAATGTTCAGTTCAACGTCAATGGTGACGTATTTATTTAGCATTACGAAAATTCATATCTAGGGTTTGGGTCACGTTTGTGTTGGGTTCAGTTACAATAGGGGGATTCAAGGTTTCTGACGCCATCTTGAATCTATTGTCTTCACCATTGTGTTTGCACCCCCTGCAAATTTACCTATAAGGAATTCCATTGTGTTTGCACTTCTTGCACTATTGTGTTTTGTTCTAGCGTCGGAAACCTTGAGCTTTATTTCAAAACTAACATTTTATCTTGTTCTTACAGCCTACCTGCGGAAAGAAACCATCTTCACGGTGTGAGGAACTCTTCGTGAGCTCTTCATCTCCACTGGCACGATATTTCAAGACACTTGATCCCAAACCATTCCACGACGCATGTATCTTCGATACGTCAGACTGTAAGACTGATGTTCCGCCAAGTGAAAGCTTCTGTAACGTCACTGCTGCCTACACAGCTTTGCTGAGAGAGAAGGGAGTCTGGGCACGACAACTACACGAGTGTGGTGGGTATCGATATTTAATGACTTTATACTAGGCATTTAAATTTAAAATGTATAAAACAAAGTATACTCCGAACAGAAGCATCTTGTGCGTTTAAGATTTGATAAACAAGAAACCATCAAAATTATTATCACTACCGAGCAAAGACGAAACTATTAATATAAAGTGTTGGCACTGGTGAGATGAGCCAATCTCTGATTGCTTTGCAACAAGTGTTTAGCGAAGGATTTTTGAATTGATATTTAAGGCCGCCGTGAAAAATAGTTTGTTTTGTTAGATAAGACGGGTCAGGATACGACAGGGCAATTTAGTGAATTTACATCATGTATCCATCACCAAACTTACTATGTTATTGTTGCTTTATTTAGTGAGCTGTGGATCCAAAGGTGTATGGCAGAAATGGACAGAACGCGGTAGTAAGAATGTCGATGTAGTCTTACTTATTCCTGAAACACTCAACATCCAAACCCATGCAGATCAACTGCCGAGCTTCCTCAAAGAACTGGAAACTGACCTTACCAAGTACAGACCAAGATACGCAGTCGTTGGCTTTGGTGGTAAAACCGCTGTCCACCGGCGTCCGCACATCGTCACAGGTGGAGGTAAAATCTTCGGTGATATAAAAAATGTCCAAAGTGCAATTGCTAACATGAAGTTCACGACGGAAGCAGCTAACGCATTCGAAGCCATCGAGTATCTTGCCAATCTACCGTTCCTTCCTGGAGCAAGTAAAGTTGTGATCATGATCACGGATCAGGATCGTGAAGCGATGTCGAATGCACCATTACACAAAGCAATCAAAGAATTGGATATGCAAGGAGTGATCTTTAACGTGATTGGTCCTTACTTCCAGAAGAAACTACACAGAGATGTCCTTGGAACGTGGCAAGGCCAAACGATGATGAGGAAAGATAAACTCCAAAACAAGCGAAAAACCATTGGTTTACCAGTAAATGATTACACTCGTCTAGCTGAGTCGTCACAAGGTGGTGTCTTTAATCTCAAGGCATACTCCAAGGCGCACGGAGACTGGACAAGTTTACTGAAACGGGCAATGAAAACGACTATTGTGAAACAGATTGACGAAGATCAGACTTACTGTAGGCAATGTATTTGTGTTCCAAGTCTTGCAGCTGAACCCGTGACTATCTGTAGAATAAACAAACATTCAAGATGTTCGTAGAGGGTAAGTACAGATACCTTTTTATCTGCGAAAATACTAACCTATAGCCGCTAGCTCGTTAGCGTATGTGAAAAATGCAAACCACCATACGCGTAAGACGTAGTTCATCAAAGTGAGCTGCCTTGAAAGTGATCCAGGGTTGTACAGAACTCGTGTAAGTAATGGTTCTTCACTACACCTTCCCACTATTTAAATGAATGAGTACCAAAGAATGATCGATGTCTAGATAGGAAATTGGAAGTTAGATCATCTAATGTGAGAAAGGTTTTGGCCAGGCATTTTAGCGTATGGTTAGAAAGACTGTACTATGAGCACTCTTGATTTGACCTGTAACAGAACTTCGAACTGAATATCTTAGACAAGGAAGATTTCCCAATGGAGCTATTAGAGTGTGCTATCTTACGTGGAAGTCTGAGGAGAAATATTGGGTGTGTATGCTTAAGACTGTCTAAGTATTCTTGCAATTCAGGGCCCAAATAGAGAGCAGAAACCAAGTGAGAATTCTGATTAATTTACAGCACTTTTCTTTTGCAGGATACTTCATCTTCCATATGCACACAACTGCTTTTAACTAACCCAAGAACGAACAATTAAAAGACTTTTAACATATATTATTATTATAAACATTTATATTTCAGTTTGATTCAGTGACGTAGCCAAAATATTAGCCCCCCTCTTTGGAAAAATTCTGACCAATGCAAGCATGTTTCATTTCTTGTAAGGGAAGTTTTAAATGTTCTGGATTCGTTTGTAATTAAGTAGAGTTATTATGTGTTAAATGGTTATTTAAAATCAACAAAACGCATTAAAATAGCACTTTACCAAAAAAGCCCAAAAATGGCACTTTACCAACTCTGGAATTTAAAAATTTTCCCGTGGGAATATACACTGGCCGGGATTCCCCCGAAAGTTCATTGTTCTATATTATGTATGGATATCGTGGGAGTCGAAATACATTTACACATAATAAACAAACTTTATTCAAACTAACGTAGGGTAAAATTGCTTGGGCCCAAATTAGTTTCGGGCCCCCTTGACTAGATATCCTGGCTACGTCACTGGTTTGATTAACTAAACAAAACAGATTAATTTATATTATAATTATTATAAGGGAAGTCGTTCATGTTATGTATTTCAAACTATTTTGCGGTGCGATAACAAAATCGTTAACGTTATATATATATGTATGTGTATCGATATTGTTTGATCATTGCATTGGGTAATAAAATAGAGGGAAAAGGTCTTAAATTGCTGACCTTGAATTCAAATTATGGTGTGTATCCAAGCTGGTTTAGAAAGCATTTGATGAGAACCTGGGTTTAGGATCGTAGTTTGGATTAGATTATGGTTTAGGATTAGGTGGGATGGGGGAGCTCATTGCGCTTTGGTCATGGTTCAGAGTGCAGACCAAGTGCGATATCACTAGAAGGAGCTATGGCATTGCTATATGTAAATCCAAAAAATGGATTTGATAAGGAAATTAGCACCCCCCCCTCCCCGTTGCATCCTCTTTGCCAAGGGAATACGCGCCACCTGCCTCCCCCAGACCATCCAGCCCTGATTGTTTTTTTCCTACATTTTAATGACAGTCGGGCACTTCCTACGCTATCAACGTCCTGACGTAAGACCTTCGCTCGAAACGTTGAAGTGCTTTCAATCTTTTTCAGGTAGAAAAACCACGGCCAGCAGACAATTTCAGAACGTATATAAATTGCAAAGAATAATGTCATCTCGAAATTCAGATTCGCATTACAACAAGACGAGCTTCTGAAACTGTAATTACAGTTGTTTCAGCTTTCTGATGATGCATGCTTTGAAGATGATGCATGCTTTGAAGATGATGTCTGATGATGTATCATTTTCTTAAAATCTTGAATTTCAAGAGACATTATTCTTCGGAATTTTCTTTTTATACTTTTTCAGTTAGTTCCAGCTTATTACTAGGCTTATTACTAATTCAATATTTTATCATGTTTTTTTAGCCATCAGGGGTTTGATGCCAATTGGGGATTTGCCCTATTTCTTTCTTGTGTTGTCACTGTAAAGCTGATAACTAATACACCCTTTCGATAATTACGTCACACATACTTTTTGGTGATGCTGTTTTATAAAACATACTGTTTTATAACGCCCTGATTCATAAGAGCGAGGTTTCCAGGCCAAATGACGTAATTATCGAAAGGCTGTATAAAAGAAATAAATTCAAATTCTGAGCCTAAAGGCGGATTTACAGTCCTCGCACGAAGTTCCTCGCTGCGAGTGCATGCATGAGCACTTTCATCCAATCACAATGCTAAACAGTTCATTTTAATTAGATGCAAGCACTCGCAGCTCGAGCTTCGTCTCGAACAATAGGGAGCTTAAGCATGTAGGACGGCAACACGACGACGATGGCAACCAATACAATGAGTCAATCAAAAATGAATAAATAATTAAAGTCCCAGGAGAGTTTCAGACGTGGTCGTCGCTCTGTTTACAACGGCAAATCACAGATTTTCACGTCTTTTATACAACGCATGCATTTCAAGCCGTAACAAGTGCAACTTAAAATTCGGTTCAGTAGAACTCTTCCCAAACATAAAGCCAATGTTTTCAGCTTCTTATACTGTATTGAATTCATACGAGTTATAATATACGACACGTTTTCTTTACTATCATTTATTTGAAGGAATTTGTTTTGGCCGTCGTCGTCGTATTGCCATCCCACATGCTTAAGCTCCCTATTATAACAGCAAGCCAAGCTACGGTAGTCAGTCTTGCTTGTACCCAGCTGCGTGGCCTTTGCGTGTGGTCGTGGATTAAACGATCCACTCTACAGTTTCAGATTCAAGTTTCATATTCAGGTTTGAATCTGAAACGGGTCAATTGTCGCGTACAAAATGTCCGGAATTACTCTGTCTCTTTTCACGGAATAAACGTAATTTATCAAGGACATCCATTTTCAGACTATTGCGCATTTGACAAAACTATACTTTAATTTTTAGCTCATAATGTGAAGCCAGGAAAAATCGCAGAAACTACTTAACTACACGACCAACGTACGCGTGCAGGGGCGTAGGAACCGGGGGGGCCAGGGGGGCCATGGCCCCCCCAAGTTTTGGCAAGTCCCTTTTTACAGGAGCAAAGTGCCCTTTTTGTGTCTGAAAAATTTTCATAAAATTCGCAGTTTTTGTCCAAACGAAACTTTTGAAAACTGTAATGTAGGTTTTTTCCCGAAAAATGTTTTAGTTTCCGATAAAAATATCATATATTTGTTTTTCCGGAAAATTTTTTTAGTATTTAAGGAAAAATATGGTATGTCCGGAAAAATTTTTTACCCCTAAAATGGTACACTGACCGAAATTTTTGTCGCCAAAAAATTTTTTTGAGATGCCCTTTTTTTTTTGAAAGTGCCCCTCAAAGCCTGGCCCCCCCAACTTTTGTAAGCTTCCTACGCCCCTG